ATAGCATCGTCCTTGTACGCCATTTTTAACATTTCAAGAGTTGCTGATCCACTTTTCCCGAGCAAAAAGCAGAATTTCACCGCCGCACGCTGTTCACGAAAATCAGCCATTGCAAAAACGATGATCACACAAAATAGTTGTCACTATAAACTCTGCCGAAACTAGTCCTTACCTTCTGAAGCAACGGTAGTCGGCTTATCGACTCAGGAATATTAGCTCTATGCGCTCATAGCAGCAAAACGCGGAACTACAAAAGCTCTGCCCACAAAAAAATTAGTTCAGTTTCTTTTGGGTACCCCATCGTACAGCATTACAACCCAGAGACTGTACTCTTCAATTGTGTAATTTATTTAAAAAAAGAACCTGAAGTTGGCTAGTTAATGCAAAGCATGTCAGGCACAAATATAACCATATTAATTTAATGCCCAGTGGAAAATCTCATTTCATTTGTTACTTTATACAGATCAAGTGAATCACATAATCTGAAATGAGTACATTATGAATGGTGAGCAAGGAAGACCATGGAATGATCTTGGCACAGACATACAGAATAGTTCTGTATGACACACAGACGAAGCATGCATCATATTATGTAACTTCTCTGTCGTCTCAGCTAGTGTGTAATGCTGGTTTTTCTTCAGAGATAGTGGATATGTTCAGTTTTTAAACGTATCTTAAAATTCTCAGTAATGCACATCTGGAATGATAGTATCCATGGTGCATCTTCGTGGGAGGAAAATATTATTTTTTTTTTCAGAAAAAATCCTTGGTTCAATACATTTTCTTTTATCTGAAAAATCAACCACGATGGATTAACAGCATCAGATCATATATTCAAAAAAAAGTTTTTAATATTGTAGCATGTTAACCAGCTGTTAAGTAATGACACTATAATCAAGGGCCATTGCTAGGTAATGGCTGAACACACCAATGGAGTAATGGGGAAGCAGTGTTCTCTACACAGTCTGTGTGACAGTTACATGATATAACACTAAAAGAACTGTTGGGAAAGATGTTTTCTATGCGGTCCATGCCAAGTGTTATAATCATGACAAGTCTAGAGTTCAGTTAGTTGTGAGAGAGTCACCAAGCAGTAATGGACATGAAGATGGAAGCTGAGGAAGCTACAGCATTGGAAACCGTTACCAGGTGATAATCGGTGAAGAAACAGTAGACTGAGAAGACTTAGTATGTGCTCTAGTGAACTGCTGAGTGTGTGAATTAGTGATAGTGCTATAGTTGTAGTTACGATCTGTAAGTGTTCAATAAGTCCAATTACCAATCGAAACCCCATCTATACTCACTCTAATCACATGACAATATCGAACAGTAATATTGGTGACAGAAGGCTTGAGATGTGAGAATGAACAGTGCCGTCTGTGCAAGTGACATGAGTACATCAGTTATGACTACTTACAGCTGGAGCCTCCTCAATGATCTTCTGATGTCTGCGCTGGACACTACAGTCACGTTCAAACAAATGAACATAGTTACCATGTTGATCTCCAAAAATCTGCACCTCGACATGTCTTGGTTCCTCTATAAACTTTTCTAGAAGCATCGCTTGGTCAGCAAATGACTTGAGAGCCTCACGCCTTGCTGACTCTAACTGTGACTCGAACTCAGACATTGTGAATGCAACCCTCATGCCCTGCAACATTTCATTCTTAAAGTAACTGCTCCTTAACACTCATGCATGATAGTAATGATAGTGGCCTACTTTTAAGTGCAGAACTGGAAGACAGTTCACACTTCAAGAGGCTGACGCTTCCACCTCAGAGATAAAAAGAAATTACACAAACTATAAGAACTTTATGTTTCACATCTGTATCTTTACAAGAAGTGTGAGGGCAGCAATCTGGTATTCGGGAGCATAACATACTGCTGCCCCAGATAGCCCTAGCTCAACTGAAACTGCTGGAATACTTCGGTCCACTGAATTCTTCAATGTGAATGCTGGAGAAATATCTTCATTATATGTTAAAATGAAAGACAATATATCATTCAATCAGGACAGAAAATTACTACTAATTTGCTGCAGAGTGTACCTAGAATTTAGTTATGTATTTACAGTTTATTTAATGACACTATCAGTAGTTCAGACTATACAGTGTCATATGTTAGGCTGAATTTGGATGTAAAACTAGCTGTAGCATAGTTTGAGATACTATCCTATCATTTGTTAGTATTGGATAATCTATCATTAAGTATAATAATGTTTACATGTTATTTGTATTTCTATAGCCTCTTATAGGCAATGTTTCACAGTACAGCACAATATACCACACTTCAAGAAGAATTTACTTTGCCACATGCCACATAGTTGCTGCGGTTGCATTGTTCATGCAGAGAACTGGGCTGGACACAAATAAGCAAGGAAACATTGACAGGCACAAAAACAGTGGATTCTAGAGGTTTCTGATGACAATGACGACGATGATGGTGATGATGTACAGCACTTGGGATTACTGGGGTTTTGCACTCTGTCCATCATCCGGTATTCTATAAAACACAACGTTTCGAAAACTGGATGTTTCCATCCTCAGGTGAAGGGGTGGGAGACACCTACTTTGTTTGGTCTGTTAGAAACAGCTAACATCAATCACTGGAGAGCAGATGTCTCCCACACCCTCACATGAGGATGGAAACAGATCCAGTTTCTGAGATGTGCTTTTTCAATTATCACAAGATAGACAAAGTCCAAAAACCTATTAATCCCTATAAGAAAAGTGGCATACCAACAGCATTCTGCTACAATATGACCAAGCTGTCAGTAAATCCAATCATCTGAACTAGAACCTGTCATTTCGTCACACGTACCCTCCTACATGTGACAGTATGTTCAGAATCTTGTTTTAATGTATCACAACTTGAAAACATATATTCAGTCTTCTTACATAAATACTATAGTGTTTTCTCACTTTCTTTGCAAAAATAGACTTTGTCTTCCTTGGGTAATAGCATTTGATATTATATTTTGGTCATAATCTTAAACAGTGATGTCCCTTATGAGCTGATCCCTGAATCTCTTGTGACTCACAATCCCCCTTAAGACCTATGCATTCACAATGGCCGGGTCTCTCAAGCACAAGAAAAGTGGCTCAGATCTTCTACCCATACACAACCCATGGTCATACACTCGCTTCATTTCACCTAATTCATTGCAGAGAGCGATGATAAAAGGTTTCTCAGTATCCCTAGATTATCTCTGAAACTGAAGGTACAGGTTTTGTGCTTCATGTCCAACTCATCATAAACTACTCGATTTGATTACCTCAACAGTATTAAAAAAAGTTTAAATAATATTATTAACATATAAATAAGTGGCCACATGGTCAAAGATGAGTACTATTTTCAACTTCTGGGTTCATGGGTTTGAATCCCACTTCTGTGTGTTGTTGTGTGTAGGTAGAGACCTTGCAATGCACTGATTCTCCATCTAGGAAGTCCTACAAATTTTATATAAGAGTCACAATTTCTGAAAGTAACTATGAACTGGAAGAGGCCAGACAATTTAATCAATAACGTGGGATGAAGAATACATGAATAAGACATTACCTTCCCTCCGCCACCACGAACGGCCTTGATCATTACTGGAAACCCAATGCGTTCTGCTTCTTGTTTCAGTTTAGTCACGGACTGGTCTTCGCCATGGTAACCCCCAATGATAGGGACACCTGCTGCTGACATTATGGATTTTGAAGTGCTGCAGAGCCCACAGAAAGAGTTGCTTTAATAATGAACAACCAATAAGTCAGAGTATATGCATGGAATATACATAGCCAGTAGTCTCCAGAAAAAAAGAAAACAATATTTGTTTTAAGGGTGTGACTTCAATTTAAGATTTTGCTGCACTCACTTCGCCTCTACCAAATGTTTATCTTTGAGCATATGGAAGCTTGAAACACATATTGTGCTGTAGGGTCGTTCCTTCTACTGGCCATCAGATAAACCTGCCTCTGTGGTGCTCACACTCCTTCACCTTAACACCACAAAGGATGATACCAATACTCTTTCAGCACTTTCTTAAATACCATATAAAAGAGAACCACCTGTGAAGTTTTCAAAGTACCCAGTTTTGAAGTAATATATCTCAAAATGTTATTTTCTGACACTCCACTGTTTTACAGCTGTTTCTGCCAAAAGTACAATTTTTCCCTTATGTATTTCTCCTCCTCTTCCTCCTCCCCCTCCTGTTGCTCCCAATTGGAGCATACAGCCATCTTTGAAACACTATGTTTCACTTCAGTTTCTTAATCTAAGACACTCGCTAGGACTCCTCGGACGGGATATCAGCCCGTCGCAAGGCTGCTACCAAACACAAGCAGACATCTATGCCTTGAGTGGGATTCGAACCCACGATACCAGTGTTCGAGCAGACAAAGCTGTTCCATGCTTTAAACTGCGCAGTCACTGTGATCAGCTTTATGTATCTCAGTGGTACGAAAAGAGAGTGTTTCATCTTAATCAGTTTTGTTGCTGTTGTTGTTGTTGTTATTATTAGTCTTGGAATGTTCCAATAAAAAAAATCTTGTATTTAACAACCTTGTATAAGACACACCATCCAAAAAAGAAATTCAATTTACTCCTTTGTTAGTCCTTGGTGGTTTCTGATGGTTTCCACAGTAAATGTTCCAGGACTATGTTGGCTCTGAGGTTCTCACAGCTGTGGTTATGAAGAATGCTATGTTTTGGGATATAACACTGTGTAATCCAGTGAAAGTCAACTGATGTTTTGAAGGAACTTGTCATCTCCATCTTCAGGGTCCAAAAATAAGCCAAGCATGAAACCAGCGTGAAGCATATAGTGAGCAGACCCTGAAGATGGAGCCACCACATTTTCCAATATGTTGGTTGACTTTCAATGGACTACACAGTGTTATATCCCAGAAGACAACTCTTCTGGGTCTGGGAGATGTTTACTGTTCCTTTGGAGGAACATACCACTACTTAAATTGCGGCTGAAGAGTAAGCCAAGCAAGAACCAGGTGGCAAGCAGAGAATAGATCAGTGAACCTTCTACTCCACAATACGGCACTACATTCCAGAAGACAGTACTCCTCATTTTCCAAGACATTTCACCATGGAGCTTTCAGTTCAGTTCCAGGTGATAACATGTCAGATTTCTGGTAGACAAACTGGCACAGCAGCAGGTGTTTTTTTTTTCTCCTGCTAATCATTGTTCCACCATTATTCTGAACACCCTGAGGCATGTAATTTCTCTGAGAATGCAGAACATTATCACATCTTTGGTCCTTAAGTTTGAGGCTCAATTTCTGAATTAGTAACCTGGTTTGTTACTGAATAAGGACGTTAGAAGTTAGTTTCTTTGCTCTTCTTTAATTAAGATTTCTTGTTCACACGCATAAGGTCCTTCTCCATGTACCATACTAGAGTGAGACAGAGAAATCTGAGATTCTCATGGTGATAACTATGATATCTTTGGGATATGATGTCATGCTATATGTTTCAGAGGACCTTACTGACTCCATCTTCAGGATTCACCCTGAAGACAGAGGCAGTATATTCCTCCAAAATAGTACGTAGGTCGTACCGAAAGTCATGAGCGGCTTTTTTTTTTGTATGCAACCTGGGAACAGCAGATGAAAGAGAGTACAGTGGTAGGTGGAATCAGTTGTTGTGTTAACCTCGAGTGTCTTGTGACATCAATAGCTTGCATCACATGACCAGTATCACTCATAACAAAATGGCCGACAATGATATGTCATTTTGCCAGCGTGCTGTCATCGAATTTCTTGTGAAAGAGGAAATCCCTGCTGCAGAAATTCACCAGAGACTTCAGCGTGCTTCAGCCTGTTGTCAGTCACTATACTGACTGCACTATCCTGACTCTCAAGGTAAAGCTATCTCTGCAACAGGCCATGGAGGTCCACAGGGTTGTGAGATGTCAAGGTTCACACATTTTCTAGAAAATTGACTCACAGACAGTAGTGAGGCTGTCAGCCTTACACACTGGCCAAGCGGTCTCCGTAGTCTAGGGGTAACGTTCCCACCTCATGACTCAAGGTACGCAGGTTCAAACCCGGCGGAAGTCGTGGAAATTTTAAGGGCGGAAAAATTCAGGGAACAAGTCCTCCGAGAGGGACTTTAAGCCGTGGGTCCCGTGTCGTAGCTTTACAGCATGTAAAAGAACCTCATGTCTCCAAAGGAGGCCACTGAGCTAAATTAAGGACATTTCCCACCCAACAGTAGTCTCTAACGCCTCTGGTAGATGGGGGAAGCATTGAGATACCTCTGAGCCAGTAGAGGCCGACCTCGCTGGCTGAGTAGGAACTGATGGTATGCACCAATACCAGTAAGGTATAGAGGCTGGTAGATTATAGGGGGAGCACAATAGATCAAACTGGTCGCGGTGCATGGGGAAACCCACCCCCTCCAATAATAATAATAATAATAATAATTACACACTGGCCACTCTTTACAGCCAGAAAGTTTCCTGATACTCATTTCTGTTGGAGGCTGAGTCGACCCCAGAGCCATAGTGCAGCTGCAAGTATTAGGTCAATTGAAAAATCCAGTGACCTCATCAGGAATTGAACCCAGGGCCTTATAGTGTATGGGCTTACATAAAACACACAAATTCAAATTCCTATTCTGCCAATAAATTATAAGTGCGGACATATCTTCCAGCTGCTCAGGGTCATCATCACTCCATCTCTTTCCTCTCCCTGAGACTCTATTTGTGGAGATGTAACAAGAGGTAGCCCTACAGATCAGTCATGGGAGGTGATGGAACGTCTTTCACTGGCCACAAGAAATATCCAAGATCTTAATGAAAGTCCCCAGTACAAAATATCATCAGTCATAACAAAGGTTTCAGACGTTTCTTTTCCGATGGGTTATATGATGACTCTTTTTAGTATGAAAATTATACAGTGTTGGATTGTACAATGATGGATGATTGATAAATTGGAAAAGATTTGGAAGTGGGCAGTCATGCACTAATCAAGGTACTATCCTAACATTTGCCTAGAGTGAATGTAAAAAATGACAAGAAACCTCAGTCACGATAGCCAGTACCCTGGCTGAGATTTGAACTGAGGACCTACTGATAAGTTCTAGAGCCTTACCTCTACATTAATCTTTTCAGTATTTCAGGAATTGAACTATGACATCATAGACTTGATAATCCCACAATAATACGTACTTTCATTGTTTGGTTCAAAGTAAAGAATGCATGGAAAATGACACAGAAAGGGTAAAAGAAAACAACTGTAATAACAACTTCATTGAAATATGCACAAAACTTGTGTGTTTAATTCCATCATGTTTCACCTTTTAATTCCCATGTCTCTTATAGCACTGGCTGGTGGGCCAATAAATGTAATATCTGACTGCTGACACAGCTGTGCAAACTCTGTATTTTCTGACAAGAAGCCATATCCAGGATGGATGGCCTGACATCTGGAATGTTTTGCAATGTCAACAATCTTCTGTTTCTTGAGGTAACTCTCCTCAGATGGGGGCAGTCCAATATTATATGCTTCATCGGCCTAAATTAATAAATAAACAGTAAATATTTTGGACTAAGTTGGTGCTTCACCATTCATCATCATCCTCACATATTATTTAACATTACATAACCTTTGCAGTTCACAGAGCTACTGATCAATTGACAGCAGATTTCAAATGCATCAAGGATACTATGTGTGGAAGAGTAAAAATTATACAATCCCCAAAACATTTCTGCATTGTTATAGAAAAGAGAGTTACATAAAAAAACTGGTCAAATAAATTAAGTGATTTACAAAATTCTCCATATTAAAAATATCAAATAGATCGAGTCATGTCACTAAGTGACACATCACTAGTGATGTGACTGTCCTCATAGCGAAGTATGATGAACTTGGTTTATGCACAATATATTCAGTATTACTTTTTTATGGTTACTGTCAATTTGATCACAGAATTTAGCTGTTTCACTTCTTCAGTACTTTTATCGTCATTCCCTGTATTTAGACTAATACAAGTTTTGATGTTAGAATAAAAATTTTATGACTTTTATCAAAATTCAGCATATATTTATTGGTTTTAAACAATTTGTTCAAGCCAGCAGAGATATAATTTGCACAATGTTGAAAGTAGTAAATTTCTGGGTATGAAACAGTAGTAGCGTCTTCAATAAAAAATATGGGTTTGGATTGCAAGTTGATGGTTGTGTGCAGGTCACTGATGTATATGAAAAAATGCAGAGGAACAAGTAATGAACCTGGAAAAATTCCATGTTTTACAATACTTCAGTGTGAGGTGCTGACTTTATTCCTACTTGTTACTTCCTGTTGTGAAGGCATGATTTAAACCACTGTCCAGCTATACCTCAAATTTCAGTAGTATTTCATGATTCACACAATCAAATGCTTTAGTAAGATCACAAGATATTCCAACAACATGCATTTTATTATAGTACTGTATCTGAACATTATGTGTAATTACATGTGTGATATAATCTTGAAAATGCAACACTTCATAGGTTGAAGAGTTCTGTTTTCTGGGATATGAAGTTACATGGCCCGTTAGTCAACTGACATTTTGGACGAATATGTCACCTTCAAAGAATAAGCTAAGCAAGAAACCATCATGAAGTAGCAAGGAAGTAGAATTACTGACTGCTATCTGTATGGATGGGACACATTCCTCCAAGACATCGGGTAAATATGAATGGACTACACGGCATTATATCCCAGCACCATCACCAATGCTGTGAGAACCTCAAATCCTTCTTCCTAGGTTGCCAGTTAAAACACCACTTACAAGGGAATGGTCTGATCCGAAATGTGTAATCCAGTGAAAGTCAACTGATGTTTTGAAGGAACATGTCGCCATCTTCAGGGTCCAAGAATAAGCCAAGCATGAAACCAGCGTGAGGCAGGTAGTGAGCAGAGCTTGAAGATGGAGCCACCACATTCTCCAATATGTTGGTTGACTTTCAATGGACTACACAGTGTTATCCTGCCTGATTTTTTTTTTCACTGCAAGAGTACACACAACAAAATTCACTGTCAAAATTTTAGCTGCTAATACGCACTGCAAGTATTTTTTAAAAATTGCTGAACATGGCCAATATTGTAGCCTGCCAGACCCTTGGAGAAATGTCGAGCCAGAGCAGAGCAGTACGCAACACACAACATGGCTGACTCACAGCCTAGGCTGGGGTTGTACAAACCTCTGGTACAAGCGGTTCCGCATACAGAAAAAATGAGTAACTTCGGAAATTTTTAAAAAATATTTTCAGTGTGTATTGGCAGCTAAAATTTTGACAGTGGATTTTGTTGTGTGTACTCTTGCAGTGAAAAAAATCAGGGCAGGTTTCGACATGTCGGATCAGACCATTCCCTTGTTAGTCCATATTTTCATATACGTTTACAACAAGTTTTAGCCACCTGATGATGGCTCTGTGTGGCCAAAATATGTTGTAAATATATACAGAAATATGGCTCACGTGGTGTTTTAACAAAAATCTACAAAGTGTTGTATTTACAAGACTATATTACACAAATGTATTCTATCATTAAGAGCCTGTAAGATTTCATCTGTAAAATTTACTAGAGCTTCATAAATCCAAACTGTTCACCTGCAAGAGTGCTGTTCAAGTTTCAGATATTATTTTCTCTTATAAATAAAATGTTCAAACATTTTAAACATTAATATTAGTATTTAAATTGGTCATTAGTTGAATACGCAAGATGTTTCACCTCTTTTACACAATAGGTTCACTTTAAGCCATTCTGGGAAAGCTCCTACTGCAACTGATTGGTTGCAAAGATAACTTAAACAGATGATGAATCTGCGAAGTTTTGGGGTAATTCTGTTTATACTTCATCATAATCATGCAAAGTTTCTTTCTGGGTTTTAATCTCAGCATTAGATACTTTGTAGCATATTTGGTTGTTAAGTTTTTGGTGTCATTGTTAATTGTTTCTGTAACTGTTACTAAGTACTGAAAGAGTCTGCCAGGAGTTCAGAACGTTTTGTTATATTATTACTCATCTTTATTGATGAGGTTCCTTCTCCAGAAGAGTTTTTACCTATTTCCTTTTTCACAATTTTTCAGACTACCTGTACTTTATTATATAACTCTAAATGTCCCTATAAGGCAATGCATACATTTTGCCTGTTTAATAACTTGAGGTAACATCCTTCAACATTTCCAATAGCAAATCTTCATTATTTGGTTTGGACTAGATGACCTACTTAGGCCAAGATCATGTTTATGTTTATGAGATGTCTTGATACTGTGACATGATAGCTGAAAGCCAGACTAGTGTAACAAGTAGAATACAGAGTAATGAACAGAGGACTGTGTGTGTGCTGCAGTTGTAATGATCTTCAGAGTGTTAATTAGCGAGACTGTTATAATTATTAATAGGTACAAGTTATAAGCATCCAGCAAACCCAACTGCCAATCCAAACCGTATCTAGACACTAACATGTGACAATATCTTCAATTATCCAATCTTTATTTTCAAGCACACTTTTCTCTGTTTTGGCATGAAAGGCTGCTTAAATATGCTAAAGAATATTTTTATGAATGTGTTAAATTTTGAGGTTACATCATGGCTGCTGAATTCTGATTCCCAATTTTCAATACTTAGATGTGCTGTAAATTGTTTATGACCTAGTTCATGTATAGTAATCATTAAGTGAAAACAATTCTGTATTTTTTATACCTAGAAGTTCAACATCATGATCAAAGAGCTCATTTATCAGAGGTTTGATTGAAATAATATCTCTGCTGGAACTGTACACAAAAATATTATCTATGGCAATACTAGAGTAATGTTGAATTCTTATAGGAACTTGACCACCGACATAAGTTTAAAAGATGTCAGCAATAAGTTCATACATTGTCTGTGGTTAATTTCTTTTTTTTTAATACGCATAGTGAGGGGTGGAGTCAAGTTGGGTCCACTCAGCACAGCAGCCACTGATTGGACTATTGTATCTGCCCCGGGTGATTATGATGGAGAATTTGGTGCAATGAAGAATGGCAGGGGAAACCAAAATACTTGTAGAAAGCCTACCCCAGCACCACTTTGTCCACCACAAATCCCACTTGACCAGACCCGGGTTTGAACCTGGGCTGCCATGGTTGGAATCCAGCGACTAACCACTTGAGCTATGGTGCAGCCTTTGTCTGCGGTTATTTTCAGTAATAAGATCATATGTCGCAACAGAAAGACAAATTCTGCTTGGGTTTAAAAAGCTAATTTATATTTTACAACTTGTTTAAATACAGTTCATAATCACCTGTGAGTGCTCTGTATACAGCTAAGACAATCATGTCCAAGACATGTAGTACAAAGGTGCACTCCAGATTTCATCCCCCTTGGCAAATTTGGAATACTTTCAGCACCTCCTGTGAGCACTAATGTGAGACATTTCAGCATCCCTTTTACCATTACAAATTTGTGTATGTAAATTCAGGGCGAAAAATGTTGTTCCTTTACCACTTATGACTGGCCACTTGTTAATCCAGTCATTCCACTAGACCCTGAGTGTGGAAGAATATAAAGGACAAATTGCCTGAAAAGGCCACCATACCATTTCCACATGCATTGCACTGGTGTCAGCATCACTGTAGACTGCTACTGTTTGTATTCCTAACTTCTTAGCTGTCCTGATCACACGACATGCAATCTCACCTCGATTTGCGACCAAAACTTTGCTTATTTGAGCATGGTTTGACGCCAAGCACCACGGCTGGCGCTGAAGGGACAGACTGCAAAAAGTAATGAGTATTAAAATATAGGTTTATCCACAGGCTTCTTAAATACATAATTTCATATTTAACGCTAGTTACTAATACACTAATGACCTATAAGATTTTAACTGCACTGTTTTTTAAACAAATCTCAGCTCAAAGAAAATTCAGAAATCAACATTGCATGTAACTTCAAATTGTAATTAGTATTACAAATATGTCAAAAGTATTACAGATAAATTTCAAACATTAACATCTAAGTTATAAGCAAATCAGTATGGCTGCCAATAATAAAATATGGTTTTCTTTATTTATTTATTTCGTCTCTATAGATCATTGTTACATAATATAGGACAAGTCAGTTACTGTTACGTATGTAAAAGCGTTTCAGTTCCAAGTTTGTTGGGTTACGGTTGGCATTATTTACCATTTTGTAAACAGTTTTCCTTGGTTATGCATAGTCATTGGTGGAAAAGGACCGGCTTATCCCTTGATAGTCACTGTTAGAAGTTATATTGACTCAGCTTTTGACTATACATGTTTCATTAAACTCCTGCTTACGGGTTACCTCGGCAGACACTGTCCGGTGTCCAACACTGATTTGTAAACTAGAAATTCAACATTTTTCACAGGCTTCGTTTTATAACGTCTATATATATATATATATATATATATATATCGCAAAATAATTGAGGAACTGGATTTGTGTTGGCTACGTTGAAATGATAGAAATAACGTCAGTTGGCGACGCTGAATGTTTATCTGTTCGATAGCACTCTGTATCTGTATAGCGCTTTGTAGTGCCCGTGAGAGTTTATTTGTAATTGTGATTTGAGTTCAGTGGTATGGTTTGAATCTGTGGTTTGCATGGTTATCCGTGTGTCTTCTTGGAATTTGCGTGTGTTAATAAACCGGTGCTGGGATTGCATGATTTCCCAGAACCAGTTTATTAAGACACTCCAACACTCATATATCACGAGATTCCCAAGAACATGCAGGGAAGAGCACGTAAAAAAGAATACAAGCTCTGCGGTGGGTATCCATGCGTCTTTTGAAGTGCTTAGTGTGATCCGTGGCTGTGATCACAGGTTTGTGCCAGGTGATACCAGGGTTATATGTAGTATATGTAGTTGAGGGTTTGTAGGTGGTCGGGAAGTGGCGCCAAAAATATCGAGGATTGCAAACGTTGAAATAAAATATTAACTGTAGCTGCGAAAGAATAGTGGTGTACATTGTGTGCAGTATAGTATATTCCGTAACTCTGATGTCTAACGCTTTTATTTTTACGTGTTATAATTGTACTGCTGAACATGACTGCTGCTCTTAATTCAGCTGATGTGTTGGCACTCATAATAAAATGCGTTGATTTTGCTGCTGTTAAACACGTGTACCAACGACGGAAAGACCCGGAGAGAACTCCATATATTAATCATCCTATTGGTATTTATTTATTTCGTCTCAATAGATCATTGTTACATGATATAGGACAAGTCAGTTACTGCACATTGGCGGATTACAATGAGAGAATAAAGTTAGAATACTTAATAGTTTACTAGTTGAGGATGACAGTTTTTAATAATGAACTCTGGAATATTGTCGGTGCCCGTTGATTTTTAAACAATAAAATAGTCGAACAATGTGCGATTATTAAATTCTTTGAGAATAAAGATTCTTATTTATTTGAGGTATGGGAAAATCAGATGTGTACTGACCCCACACCATGGGATGTTATCGTACCAGTTAGGTAAATATAGAGGCAGCGCCATAGCTCAAGCGGTTAGTCGCTGGCTTTCCACCATGACAGCCCGGGTTCGATCACGGTTCTGGTTAAGTGGGATTTGTGGTGGGCAAAGTGGCACTAGGGCAGGTTTTCTCCGAGTACTTAAGTTTCCCCTGCCAGTCTTCATTCCACCAGTTGCTCCACAATCACCCTCACCTATCATCTGGGGCTGGTACAATAGGGCAGAAGTGGCCGCAGTATAAGGGACTTAGTCCCACCCCACTAGCAATAAAAAGAAAATAGGTAAATATATCTGATGAAAGCGTCCACGACAGTCCAATATAAACTGACGTAACTTAAGTCCATGGTGTAAAATGAACGTAACTTAACCCCAAACCCTGGTGTAAAATGAGATTGAAAGTGCTGTGGTATTTAACAATTTGTAGCAATGAGCGTTTTTCTCCTGAAGTCAAAATTGTAATGGAACTAAAGAGGGAAGCAATGTGCATATCAGTAATAATTTCTGCACACCTGCTAGACATTGAGCTAAACTTAAATTGAACTGTTATTTATAATAATAGTTTATAATGATGATAGTGTTTGTAATGACATATTTTTGCAATAGGTGTAGCAAAAATTCTGACAGAGGAAGGGAATGTATATGATGTGGACATAATACAGGCAGCTCTTCTCCATGACACAGTAGAAGACACAGATACTAGCTTTGATGAGATTGAGACTGAGTTTGGTGTTAATGTGTGCCACCTAGTGAGGGAATTGACGGATGATAAAAGCTTGCCCCAAGCAGAACGTAAAAGGTTGCAGGTAATGTGCTTGCTGTCATTCCCAGTTTCTGCTACTATATGACATATACAATAGACTGTGTCATAAGCTTTACATGGGACATGGCGCAGAGTATATGACAGATGAACTGGATTTTAGTCCATGTAATGTACATAGAAAGTACAAAAGCAGGATAAAGGATGAGTACTTATGAGAACAAGGATCCCTGCTGCATTTTCATGGTTTGTCACTGATAAATGTTTGATTTCTGTTGTCCACATTAGACAGTTTCCGTTTAATCCAGGTTATTTAACATCTTTTTCAGCCCCAAAGTCAAGGGACCTGAAAATATTTCCGTTTAATAAAGGGTCCGTTTAAGGCAGGTTTTACTGTACCATGAACATATGAAGTTGGTTTTCAAAAATAAGATTGTTACAGCAGCAAAATATACTATGTTATTGCATGTTGAATGATGAATAATTTTGTTTACTAATTACAGATAGAGCATGCAGCAGGATCCAGTCCTGGTGCAAAGCTGATAAAGTTAGCAGACAAGCTGTATAACCTGCGCGATTTAGAGAGGGCATCTCCAGAGGGCTGGACACAAGAAAGAGTTCAGGAGTACTTTGAATGGGCCAAGAAAGTTGTTAATGGATTGAGAGGCACCAATAGCAATTTGGAAGATAGTTTGGATAAAATATTTGAAAGACACTGTGCCAGGTCATAATTTGATGGTCTGGAGTTTCTGTATCACAGCCAGGAATGCTGCATATGCATGTGCACATAACAGAAATTTGCTGCCCCCCTAGCCCAAGAAAACATCCAGCACCTGAAAATTCATGCAATGTGTAGCATCTGTGTGTCTGATATACGGCAGCCCTGTACCCACTGTAGATGGCTGCTTGTTATTTAAATGTTCATTGCATGTGAATATGGGATTTAAATCCCAAACTGTGGCACTGGTGCCCATATTTTGCAACCAGTAATGGTGTTGTCACATGATAGGATGACTATAGTCATAGATGGGTTTTGAACTGTTGACTCAGATTTATTACACACTTTGATACAGTGCATTACTACACTTTACAGTTCACTTTTATACACGCACTAGTATCTACAGTCACATCTTCACTGCAGTTGCTTGGTAGTGGCTTCCAATGGTGGACGTTCCCCTTTGTCTGGGTTCCCAAACTGTCACTAGCCTTGGCTACCAGCTTCTCGCAGCAACAGCTCACATCTGAAACCCAGCAGTTCTCTATCTGACTGCAATTTCTAATTGATCCCTGTTATAACACCTCCATACGGGCTGCATAGAAAACATCTCTTCCATTATTGCTGTATCCTCTCCTTGTGGAAACATGCTCATTTTTGGAGTCGTTACTGAGCAGAGACTGTTGTGTAGTTGCTTGTTTCATGATCATTGCTTGGTAACAGGTCTATATACTACTGTATCATTAAAAAAAATTATATCTTAGGAACCACTGTTGAAATATTGTAGTAGAGAATATTGGGTCAAATATTGTGGTGCTATAAAAATTATTGTTGCCAAAAAGTTTATAGGTTCATGAAATAAAACAAATTCATATGTATATAGAGCCAGATGTATAGTACATACATTTCTCAATGTTTTCCTTCCCACTGTGTGATGGTTCTCTGATTTGGAATTGTACTGATGTATGGTAAGTATGACAACATCAGTACACATATTATGTTTCTGGACATTATCCTTTGTCCTGTTTATATTTCAAAACAATGTTTGGGAGACTTGATTCTGTCTCTGTCTTCATGTTGGGCCCAGTCGATAGAGCTAGTCTATCTGGAGATGGACTAGCTCTGTTGGTTGGGCCCAGGTGAGTAGGTTTTACCTGAAGATGGAGACAGAATCCAGTCTCCAAAACATTGTGTTTTGAAATATAAACAACAATGGATAATATCCAGAAACTTAATATTTTTACACAAACTTTTAGATCTTAGCTGCATCAGTTTATACACAGGCTGGCTGACTTTGACTGAGCACTGAAATTTTGTAGCTGTATATTTCTTATTGACTGAACACAGAACACTGGAGATGCAGTCCTTTAGCTGGCTGTTGCTCAGTGTGTTAAGTTTCAAGGTGTGTCATTTGGCTGACCTGTGGGTTTGAGCTTCATTTTGGGAACCCATTTACCAATGTATCCTTCAACAATGGAAGGTTTTTGAGCTACTCCATGTTTGTCATGGAAGTTGAATTTTCCTCATGGTTTATGTAATTTGTTAGTATGTACAATATAACCTTCTGTGTTAAATTTCATCCATTTAAAATTTTTGTGAGTTTAGTGTTTAAATACACTGGCATGTGAAGAAGCATTTAAATGGGGGTTTTGCTGTATATGACCCCCTTCAAAATCATAATTACCTCTTATCCTCTGATGTATGTCATTTGAATCTGTATCAAATACCCAGGCTACTTTTTACAGTTTTATCTGACAGTTCCAGAGCAGCTGATAGCTGTTGTATGCAAGGTTATCAGATATAGTATATCTGGAGATGAGTGGAAGTTGTCCACATGAAGTTCTTGGTCAGTCTCTTCTGCGTTGTCTTCAGTCTGTTCATGTTTAATTTCGCCTGTACTCTTCGAAGTACAGACATATTACACAGTTGTTAATCTTTCTTTCAGAATGTCTGTTTCTTAAGCATTTATTGCTTGAAAGTAACTTTGTCTGCTACTAAATGTTGCAGTGGACTGCAATGTTTAATGTAACTGTTATTTAACTTCTCAAAGAGAGATTTAGTATCCAAAATTTATCACATTTCTTGTCAGTCTTGTCTAGTTTATTCATGTTGCAAAAATGCAGTAATCTTAATATACGAAGTTAGTGTACATGCTGTACATAATCGTTCAGGACCAGTGAACTTTGAGTATATTGCTAACATCATGTCCCATTTGTAGTGTTACAGTTGAAAAGAATGATATATTGACAGAATTATCACATAGGATGTGACTGGGACCTGATCTTATCAGTCCAAGAACAACCTTGCTGAGGTTGAGGTTTAAAAATGAGTTGCAGCATGAAAGCATAAGGTAAATCTGTAGAGTAGTGCAAAAAATTAGTGGCATTGTGGCTGTAGGCTACCTTGAAAGAAATGATATAGCATTACAATTTTGATACCTGTGTTCAGCTGGACCACAGGTATGTCATTGCAATGGTGTGAGACAGAATTTTAACTAAGATAGCTGTTTCCAACCAGCACTGAAATTGAGAATTGGTAAAATATGGGTCACAAATGGGTAAAGTGCCATTTCAGTCAATCATATTACTTATGTAATAAACATTAAAAGAGCACCCATTCATTATCCTGAAAGGCACAGATTATAGTCTGTATATGAGCTGTTGAAAGCTATAAATGGACAAAGCATTTCTCTTTGTAGAATAATGCCTTAATCCTTGTCCAGCCAAACTAACTTCATACCAATATGTAATTTATAGGAACTGCATAGTTCCTACATATTATATTAGGTCTGAGACAACAGGATGCAACCAATGAAAATAACTTCATACCACTGAGTTTCAAAGTAGTTATCTTCTTGGTGCAAATTTTATGTGGAGTTTATGTTAAATAGCTGAGTTAGACATGATTCATAAACGAGAGTTGGGCAGCAAGATTACACACACACCCTTTTTAGCTTTATTTTCAGTTCGTTCATGGAAAATAATGTACACATTTTTTCATATCCTCTACTCTTAAACATTTCATGCAACAATGAAAATTTATTTCATAAAGTGCGATACCAAGGTGGTTTTTAACATAGTATCAGGACATGTTACTATTGTGATGAAGATTAGTTAAACTATTGTTTTTAACGGGTGCGTGGTGTGCGCTGAATTTCTTATCGCCTTGGGCGGATTTAGGCTTGCGCCGGCCTTGCTTCTATCGTGCAGGTGACGTAACTTTGCGTTAACGTAGTGTTTTAGACTGTCACGTGAATCTATCATCTTATCTAATTTGGAACAAAATTTGACTTATCTACTTGATTAACAACTGTGACTATAAGTTTTCAGGGAGTTGTATCGTCCAGAAAGAACTGAATTTATGTTTGCAAGGTACTGACGTTTAGACTGTTTAGACCATGTTGCAAATCGCGCCTAAATGCAGTCGTTTGCAAGAAATCAGTTCCCTTTGTGAATTGCTTAGTAACATTTACATTTTTTATTCGTATCCTATTTCTTTCCAAGGAAACATTTTGACGTTTTCTGCTATATAATTTATGTTAATATTATCTCAAAATAATAGTATCCTTTGAATGAGAAAACAAATTTGCCAAACATGCCCATTGCAGACTACTAATTCAAGCGCTTCACGTAGTTCACGAATTCACGAACGTTGTCTATTTGGCCTGTGCTGATTGGTTGCTGTCGTTGCTGTCATTGTAATATTGCCAACACTCGAAAAGCATCGATGTGTCTAACTTAGGCATGAGACATGTATGTACAGTTGAAATTAAGCATTAAGTAGAATTTGTTTTTGTGACTGTCGTCAGACTCCGCTGCAAGGGTATTTCCATTCTTGCTCAAAAATTACTCTTAAGATGTACTTACATTTTATTAATAAATATTAACGAATTAAGAGACTATGGAGGAGACCATCTATCTCACAAAAGACTAAATTCCTTGATGCGGGTAATTTTTTAGTTGTATTATGAAAACAAAATGCTTGAACAGAGCAGTGAAAGATTTAAGTCAATTATTTAACATACTTTAAAAACGTCTACTGCTTTTAAACATTTATTCAAGACACATAGTCTATGTTTATTTCGGCAGTGAAGAGTACTTGCTATCCTGTTATATATTTTGTAGGTTATCTTTGACCGCATACAAGGAAATTCAGAGTGGTAATTTTTGTGATTTTGTATTTGAATTTGTAGGTTAAAAGATTCTGACCAGATTAATATATTATAAATTAGTCACGATTATGAGGTAAGCTGTAAATGTTTGTTTTAGAAGTGCCTGGCATAGCGAATTGTTATATAGATTTCTGGGCTACGTATGCTTTTATGAATGCACAAGTAAATTTATATGTATATATAGTTCGAATATTAGATTACATTTCCCATAATGTTAATTTGAATATTTGCTCTTTTGTTGAGGAATTGCAATGTTACGATTTTTGTACATCCAGCACCAAGATGCAGTTTTTGGTGATTGCATTGTTGGTGCACGTGTTCTGTGGTGCAGCCGGAGGTGCTTCAAAGCAGAAAACGAAATCAGTAACAACACTTATAGAAGCGAAATGGGAGGTGACTTCTCTAGTGCTAGAGCTAGCAGAATACCTTAGAGATGAAAATGAAAACTTCTTATGGGAATTTGTGGATGGTGTATGTGCTCTGGACCCTCCAATTGCTGATCTAGGTGAGTGCAGACTTGTGTTTGTTTGTCTGTAAGTGGTCTCATAATGTATTTGAGGGGAACTTTAACAAACACATTAATTCTTTTTTACAAGATACAAATTAAACTGTAATGTGAAGGTTATCAGAAGATAGTGACAGATTATCAGAGGCAGTGTTCTACATTTTGTTCCTGTTTCCATGTAAAGACAATTGGTACAGAATACTAACAATTTAGTTCATACTGTACCACTTCAGCATTCACTCATGTGGTATTAGAAGAAATATATAATCTTTTGCCCAGGTGTGAATTAGGTGCTTTGTTACGTTCATTACCAGGGATGTTTTTGTAGTGACAAGTGCGAAAGAGACTAAATGAAATTGTCCTTTGCTGATGATTGCTTAATTGACATGATTTCAATTTCGGAATATTCTAGTGTCAAGCCTTCTTCAGAGGTTTAGGGACCATATATCCCCTTGCATGCTCTTCCTCATGTGTTTCATATTCCATCCTTTGTGGACGTTTCACAGACGCATGCATACAGATCTCTTATATCTTATTCAGGATGAAGTTATCATAACATTTTTCAGAATATGAAGAAGGGAGCATAGTTTGAGAAATCAGTGCTGGTTTATGGGGATATCAGCCTGATGACATACTGTCTGACTGAATCTTGATGATGGATGGTTGTGAAAAGTTGGGGTAACAGCAGTAGCATCAGCACACACTGCTGGTAGGTAAAGTGGGGGAAGCTGTCATCCACCTTAACTATTCAGTCAGACTGATTTCTGTATGCGTGGGTGTCCCTGATCAAGTACTATGATCGATTTGCATATATGTTTAGGTATAGGTGCCATCAGGTACAACCTATGGTAAGAGGTATGTAGTGAAATCTTTGAACATTACATTCAGTGGTCTTTGGCATATAGAAACAGATGAATGAGAGTTCAGTAATAGTTTTTTGGAGAAGGATTAATTTTAAGTGGTGAATTACCCTCTGTCTGCTAAAGCTGGCTTTAACTTCGCCGACAAGCGGCAGTCGCTCGGTCAGTATAGTTTGGTTGTGAACTGAAACCACAGAGTTTGTTTGTATTTTTGTTTTCAAATTGAAGATATGGACTAAGTCTTCTAGAAAACTTAGACCATCATGTATGATGTATTTCCATTACAGGACACTGGACTTAATGATGTTTGTTGTTAATAATTTGGATAAGTTTCAAACCAGTAGCTCTGTATATGTGATTGGTACCAGAAGGAATGACCACCTTCATATACCTTCAACACATTTATCATCCTGTCAGAGGGGGGTGTATTATTCAGGCGTCAAGCAATTTAATACTCTGCCGTCAAATATCACAGTTTTAAAAAATGATAAAAACCAATTTAGGTTTGTTTTACGAAATTATTTGCAAAGTAATGAATTTTACTCAATTGATGAATTTGTCGAGCATGTGAGTGGGTCAAAAGTTAAGAGTTAATAAGTGGTCTGTGTGTGTGTGAATTATACATTGTTGAGACTTGCTTGTTGTAAGTGTAGTAGTATGTATGATGTCTGTTTTTTTGTTATGAATTTTAATATTTTATAATGTAACTGTTTTAATGATATGGCTTGCCAGCGTGTGTGGAATGGCAAGATGTGAATTTGATCGTGGTTTTTCCACGACCTATGTGTGTTGTCGTGACAACTTGAACTATTCTGTCTCAGGCTTGATTTTATATTGGACAAAGGATGAATTATGTGTAGTCATCATGAATTTGTAATATGTGACATGTTTTATATCCAGCCCCACGGGGAAATGATTGGATCCATGAAATGAAAAATAAATGTAAATGTATTTTATTTCATATAAAAGTGTTGGATTGATCTCACCTTTGATGATGGACTGTAGAAACCAATTGCAGAAAGTGAAAGTGAACAGCTTACTGTTATTTTAGAGGGTCTGAGCTCCAGCAATTGTGTTGCTGTTCTTGCACTAGACTTTGACACTCCAGTCTCTTGAGCTAGACATTTCACTGATTTTCTAGGTGTATGTTCAAGGCTGGCCTCTATATTATCTAACTTCTCAGTCAGCACTTGGCACTAACATTTTTTTCTTGTCTGCTAAAGAGTCTCATTGTTCTAAGTTTGATCACCACATTGTGAATTGTTTGTCTGCTCGGAACTTTTACATCACAAAATTTACTTTGAAATTTCGCCTACACTTTCTAGCAGATCTGTATTTCACATAGGTGTCATATAGGAATACATGTTGCTCTAAAGCATACCACACTGCTCACTAACTTTAACTGAGAACAAATGGCTAATGGAGCTGATAACTGCTGTCTACTGCTGACAAATCATAATCTTCCACGCATGAACCTCACTGCTTGGCATGAAACATAATGCTGTCAAGCAGTCCACAAGTTAATTACTTTCCTTTATTCCAAATGTTATGGGCCATGAGACACGCTGATTCATTGGCAAAATTCATATGCGCCTAACAGCAAGCAGTGCACTGGTTGCCATGAAGCGCAGAGCTGTGAAGTGGCCAACAAAGTTAAAAAGCTCTTTGTATTAGCTGACATGTAAGTTGATGATATGGAATCGTTTATGGGCTAGCTCATTTAGTTTAGCAACAGGCTGCATGCTGGGGTTCAATTCCTGACACGGGCAAGATTTTTCTCTCCTGCATGGTGTCCAGATCAGCTCGGGGGCCTACCCAGTGTTTTTCTCAGTGTGTACCAGTGGGTTAAAGCGGCAGGCGTGTAAAGCTGACCGCACAGCTCCATCTAATGTCAAGGTCAAGAATGGTGGAGCTATACTTACACTCCCCCATACATCTTCATGGCATGGTGCTTAATTAATTAATTAAGCAGTGGGGACAACTTATATTTTATGTCTTCTCTCTCTTAGGCTAGCAGTGTTTTTGTTCATATATTTTATGTTCACTTTGTTTTATAAATTTCTTTTAAAACTGAGTGTATTTGTAGTTGTGTGTGATTTTCTGGGTACAATTTGAATATGAGATTATCAACACATAAATAACATTTCATTTGGAGTGCAGGCAGAGGGGTGGTGATTTGGAAGAGTCATGAAGATTAGTAAGGAGAAGTGATAGAGCATGCATTTTTAAAACTTTCCCATTTTTCTTATAACCTGTGCTGCATTAAATGGTAGAAGAATGCAGCCGTTGATTTATGGTGAACATTGCAGAGAATGAGAGAGCTAAATATGATACTGCACTGGATGTGGCTGGGCTCCTGATGACTCCAGCACAAATCTCTGTGCTGAAGTTGGCGCTCTCTCTACACATCTACTCTCCCAAGGTCGAAATGTACTCTCAAATGGCCATAGAGCGAGGGGTATCTGCCTTGTCATGTCCAGTGGTTGCTGATGTAGCAGGGAAACTTACTTGTTATGTCAAAGAGATGAAGAAATTTATTAGTGAGAAAGAGGTAAAATATTTATGTCTCTCTGTGAATGCTATTATGTAAAACTTTTGTTTTTATGAAACCACATGTATAAAAATATATAATAATTCTTAATGATAGAAATTATTTGGATAGCCATGTGAAAATGAATCTTGTTTTTCAGTGCAAACATTATTGTTTTGTGTGAATAGTTGTTCCCCCCTAAGCACTTTTAGCTCAAGGTCTCTTTGATGTGAGTAAAAACATTTGAGATTCTCCAATCTATAAAAGTTTCTTCAAATATAAAATTTTTATGTTCTTGTGCCACTGAGTATTAACATTAACTGCCTTCAGGGTGGAAAGTTGAGGCAGTATTTTCCCCACAAATGCTAGCACCTATCTACCAGTCTAAGCAGCATCTCATCCCAGGAGACCATAATCTGGAAATAAAATGTTATTTAACAGTTTCAAGAAATACGTATGAATGAAAAATATTATTATTTATGAAGTACTTTTCTGTTAAATTGTATATTATAATTGAATATAGTCTTTTGGCTTAAAAATTAATTAATTGTCTTTATTACTAGTCCGTCTTCTGGTGGTGCCAGAAAAACTTCTCCCCCATTATGGGAAAAGCTAGCGTAGAATAATTTACAAGTGAATTTTAATCAACTGTTGGCATTTCTTTCCTAGGGTGGTGATCAAAGTCATGTTGAAACATTTGGTTTAGATCATCATTATCCAGGGTCTCAAAACAATACTCTTACTGTTGTGCTTTATGGAGAATTAGGAACTCAGGAATTTGCAGAATTCCACCAGGTGCTGAAGACTTATGCAGTTAAGGGTGACATTGACTATGTCCTTAGGCATTACATTAAAGTAAGTTCTATCTCTCATTGTTTTACAGTTTAGTTATTGACAGTGTAATTAAGTAAAATAAGTGAAACAAAAAGAAAGAGGCAACAGTTCATACAATTAATTAAATGTAGTTTAAAATACAAAACTAAATATTTACTAAAGCTGTTACATCCCCCACATGTGACTGCATGGGCAATAAGTCGATAGTGAAGGTTTTGAAATTCCGGTGAATATTTTCTTGAAAACTTGTTTAGATACCTGGAGAAATTCAGCTGAATATTATGTTGTTTACTCCAGGAACGCCCAAACAGACGAGTCCGTTTGTCAGGATATGGTGTGGAGCTGCAGATAAAGTCGACAGAGTACAAGGTGCAAGATGATACAGAGGTGAAGGGAGACAAGTCTCAGGACAGTTATGAGCAGGATGATGAAGATGATGAGATTGAAGGTTTCAATTTCAGCAGACTGAAGTGAGTATAGTTGAAAGACTAATTGTTGTTGGTGAAGGTAAGAGGTTTGTTCAGATGAAACCTGTTTGTGGTGCTTGTGGTGAATATGGCTGGTTGCAAGTGATCGCATAACTGTGTGCATGATACACGAGCAGTTGACCACAAGTCATGGAACAGAATGGATGCATTATAGGAGATGGGAACTGTGTGGGACATGGTTAAATGCCAGCATTCGTCGTGCAGAAACCATCCAAGTAGGATGAACAACCTGTCATTCATCGTCTTGGTTATGAGGGTTGTCAGTTTATGGGAAAACATATGCTGTGTACTGCTCTAAAAAGAAAGCATCATTGCATGCTCACGAAGGGTGTTATCATGTTGCTGAAAACGCTACTCAGCGTGTGGTCTGCACAGTCGAGGACATGTGCCCCAAGCGTTGGCTGGTGTTGGACCGTCCTGCATACAGCCTAGACCTGTTCCATTTGGCTTTCACGTGTTTGTCCCATTTAAGGAAGTTCTGAAGGGCCTCAGGCTGGATGAAGACATCAAAGCTGCAGTGATGCAGTGGTTTCAGCAACAGCTGCCCAGGGAGTTCTGTATGGAGTAGATGGTGTGAAGCGGCCTCCATAGTCTAGGGGTAACGTTCCTACCTCATGACTGAAGTTACGCGGGTTCAAACCCAGTGGAGGTCGTGGAATTTTTAAGGGCGGAAAAATTCAGGGAACAAGTCCTCTGGGAGGGACTTTAAGCCGTGGGTCCCGTGTCGTAGATTTACGGCACATAAAAGATCCTCATGTCTCTAGGAGACCTCTGAGCAAAATTAGGTATCCCGCCCAAGTAGTTTCCAATGTCTCCGGTAGATGGGGGAAGTATCGGGTACCTCTGCCAGTAGAGGGACCGAACTTGCTGGCTGAACGGGGCTGATAGCAAGCACCGGTATCGGAAGGGTATGGCGACTGGTAGAATATCAAAGTGGGACGTACAATAGATCAACAACTGGTCGCAGTGCATGGGGAAACCCACCCCCTCTAATAATGAATGAATCAGCTGGTGTGTGCCTGCCCCAGTGGGACTGTTGTAGTAGCTGCTACACCTTCACTCAGCAGTTTCTGAGCAGGTTTCATTTGAACAGCTCTTGCTTATAGATAGATATCTTCATCTCTCTCTCTCTCTCTCTTTTTTTACTGCACTTTCGGTGTCAACAATATGTCGTGTTGGATGGTAGGATGATAGATGACTGATGATGAATTGAGATGGATTTGGAGGTAAGTGATCATGGACTATGGGAAGTATTATCCAGGAATTTATGTGAGGAAACCCCTGAAATACAGCAGTCAGTATAGCTGGTTTTCTGGCCTAAGTTTGAACCAAGAACTGCCTGAATACAAATACAGAGTGGTACAGTTCTCTTTGGTATCGTGTCTCCTACTATGTCATAGTTTCATAGCAGCACTTTGGGGCTCTACATAAACCTGGTAAAATAGTATATCATGCAGCTTCAGATGAGATTATTGGTTTTATTTAATGTGTAATTTTATTGTAGGAATGTTATGATAAAGTTAAATTTTTGTTGTAAGATTTGAGGCTTTCACGGCGGTGACTATGAAGAAAGCAGTCTTCTGGGATTTNGTGACCACTCTGTGTTCAGGAATACTAAGCTAAGATCTCATTCTGGAAGTAGACTATCTGTACAGATTTTTCATTGTTTTTCTCAGGTCATTGAGGCAAATTTTGATGGGTTGTATTGCCTTAGGTCAGGTCATAACTTCCTTCCACATACTTCCCAATTCATCATTCACAGTTGCCCTGACATTTTACACTGTACAGATAAACCATTGTGTAATAGATCCTGGATTAAATGGAAGCCTGAGTATATTGAAAAATTTGTTAGATTCTAGAGATGTAGAGTGAAACCCAATATAGGTTCATCTCTAATCGATAGAAACTTCCAAGTGGAAATGAATGAGAAAGCGTTTCACATTGAATATTTGTGCTCTGTATAATTTTGTTCCTAGAATTTATCTTAGAAGGAACTTTGAACATGGAACATAAAAAGATACCTGGGGTTGAAGAGATAAACATAGAAATGAAATTGGAAATTTGTGCCGTACATTAACAGAGTGAAAGTATGAACTAAATTATACCTTTGCTGTGGAAATGTAAACACTAGTTTTCTACAACATTTGTCAGTGTTACCAAAAGGGAATTTATTATTTGACAAGAGGATGAGTCCCACTTTGATGGTATATATACAGTAAACTCGCAATTATCCATTATCCAAGCCTCCACAATTCTCATGCAGCTGGAAGAAATTTCAGAGAATATTTACCATTTTTAAATTTGCTTCAAAAACATAGTTGAATTTTTGGTTGAATTACAGTATGCCCAGAATCTGTCACCCCATCAATCTGCCCAGTAAAACTCCCACGCAGGATTTTGACTGCTGTTTTGGTGTCTAAGACTTCTCATGAAACCACCAGATTCATGTCATCGGTACACCCAATTCCCCATACATGCTGGATAACCTGGAATTAATATAGTGTTGGACAGATATGAACACAAAAGTCCCACCAGGGCCAAGGCTTAGACCTGTAACTTTTGGCATCCCATGCAGAGAATTCCTAGGCTGCTGCTGGGGACTACTGTCAAGATATCTTCATCCGGGTTGAATCTACAGACTGCTGGTGCTTGCATTCAGGGACCGTGACCTGTTATTATGGAGTACTCTGAAGTCTTCATAGTACCACCAAGAGAATGTGTCCTGCCATGCCAACAAGGGATATCACTATGTTCATGTCAGTGCTCATCTCCATGCAGCCTGCACTGTTAGGACACACTGTGTTTCATGTGCTGGATAATGATGTACCATCCATAATAGAGCCTTATCTTGTCACTTCATGGCTTATGTGTGTTCACCTCCTCCATAAAGCACAGGAGATCTGTAGATTCAGGTTGGATGAAGATGTCGAGGCTGTAGTGATGCAGTGGTAGCAGCAGCAGCAGCAGCTTTGGTACTTCTTTGCATGGGCTGGTGTGTCAATGGAATGCCTGCCTGTACATCCCTGAGGATCATTTTAACAGCCTGTAGACCTTCACCTAGAACAACTGTTGTAATATACTTTTGTAGACACCTCTATCCTGACAAGAAAGAAAACTTAGCTAAGTTGCGACAGCATCTTCTGGAGTCCAGCAATGAGATGGCACCACTGAAAGTATGGCAAGTGCAAGAACTGAGCCTGCAAGCTGCTGAGAGAATTATGAGTTCACCTAAAGAAGAAGCACTCAAGGTCCTTACCAACATTGCTCAGAACTTCCCACTGCAGGTTAGTAAGTTCACTGATTTCACTGCATTCTGGCCTACTCCAAGTGGTCTGCAGTGCAGCTTGTTGGGTTGCTGTTCGTTTGGGCCAGACCATGGAGGCCTGCCTATATCCTTTAGTGCCAACATTTAGGATGAATGCCTGGAGTGTTACATCCATGCCCTCTGTACTACCAGTAACTACCATGGCCCCCAATACAAGTGAGACAAGCCTGTGAAGAGTTCTACATAACAGGAACAGATGAAAAATCAGAGAGAATTCTAATCCATTATTGTCAAATGATTTCCCAGTCCACAGAAACTTTATGTAGAATTTGTGGTTCTCACAGCAGTGGTTATGAGAAGTACTATCTTCTAAGATATAACGCTGTGTAGTCCTTTGATAGTCAACTGACATTTCAGAGGAACACATCACAGAGCCACCTGCTTCCATGCTGGTATCTTGCTTGTCTTATTCTACCCTGAAGATGGAGGTACTGTGTTGACTTTCAGTGGACTGTGTGGCATTATATCGCAAAAGATTGTACTTCGCACAGAAACATTAATTTCCCAATTTCCCTGCATACTGAGCCCAGTTGGTGTAGTGATGAGGTTACAGGCTGAACAGCTGAGGCAAGAGATTTCTTCGGTATAGTGTCCAGACTGACTGGTGTCCATCCATCCTCCAGTTCATTGAGTACCAGGGGCTCTTTCTGTGTGATGCCACACTCTTATCGTTTTGTTATTTACAAGGGAGAGCCAGTAAACATGTCACAGATGGATATAAAGTCTGAAGTATGTGATATTCAAACCTGAAAGAAAAAGAAATTATGTCTCAACATGTCCTCCACCAACACTGATACACTTGTCCGATTGCTTTACCAGTGCATCAGAACTTGCAGCACAGAGGTCTTTTAACTCTTGCCTCAGCCACTTCACACCTTCATTTCAGTGTTTCCATTGCATTGAAGCATGCTTTGATTTAGGTTGGTAGTGATGCACCCGTGATTTGTCCCCAGTAACAGTCCTGTTAAGCATATCTCCTTTGTAGGCATACTGTAAGAGATGTTGCAAGGAAAGACCCATTCGGTTCATTTTTTCTTGATCCTTCAGTTCTCTGGCCAGTTCTGTGCCCTCTTTCTGAAACTTCAAATGAACATGCATTATTCTGTATGCTAAACCATGGGAATATCATAGTGCATTCACCACACTATCTATCATTATCCTCCTGTCAGCCTGAATCAACTCTTCCGCCTGCTGCACAGTTGCTTCTGTTGCAATGTTAACAGGGTGACCTCGCCAGGCACCGTCTGCAACTTTAGAATGTCCTTGAGAGAATTTCTCAACCCAGTTGTTAACTACTTTACTTGACATGCACTTCCCACCATAAACAGGAAACAATTCTCTATGAATATCCTTTGCATCAAGTTCATTTTCCCATAAATTGCAGAATGCTGCTCTTTGGTACTGCACACCTGAAGCACGGTCGCCATTTTGACTACTGAAACCAGCATCTGAACATGTGCATGCGCATCTGATACCTAGACTGTCATGAAGTTGGACTGTGCTGCTGCCTAGTGGTAGATGTAGAAACCCTGTTGCATCCATTACTGCTGTTTTACTTCCATTTGTGACCTATTTACTGACTCCCTCATTTGTAATTACGTTATAATAAATGAAGAGTCATCTATTCTGATGCCTACTCTGCAGAATGATGGTTATCTGTAGTTTATTAACTGATTTAAAATCATTCATTTATTATTCTGTTGCCCGTATAGGGATGGTTATTGGCAGCATTGTAGCTTGGAGTTACTGGGGAATTTGTGGTATGCCACCTATTCACTTACTGTAAAGAAGAGGTTACAACCTTTTTGTTTTGTGAGGGGGTTTTAATGCATTACCCCATATGTCCTTTAATGAATATGATTTAACACTGTATAATGTACAGATTATTTAAAAGTTTTATAAATTGTTTTTTGACACATATGCTTTGAAAAGTTTGCAAAAATATGTCTCTCAGCTTTACCCCATCTGTCTGGTGACATGTGACCACTGAGTGAATATTTGGAAATTTGATGTTGGGGCGTTTTGCTAAAATTTGCCCCGGTACTATAAAATTTTTTGTTGAATTGGGCAACGGTAATGGACATTCAGATCTGCATGTATTTTAGAGCATGTCTCAAATATAACTTTATGTATTTGAGCAGAAAATGTTCTGAATGAAAGTATGAGAGAAAAATTAAATACGTATTATGTCGTACACATTTTTTTCATAAGTCTTATTATTTTCAAGATGGTGAAACAAAAAGGAATGCATATGTTAGAATTGTTGCACTGTATGTAAGTTTCCGTACATGTGTTTTTCTGTATGAATTTTGTCATTGAATGAAACAGTATGAGGTTACCATGTTAATGCATATGTGAATCACATCTGTGTTGCTTATACATTGAGTGTGGAACTGGCAGTGGTATTTGTTAACTAGGCAAGATCGCTTGTGCGAACTGTGGTGAAGGATGAGCTGAAGCAAGAGATAAAGAGGAACCAGGAACTGTTTGCATCGTCTCTAAACCTGCAGCCAGCTGATACAGCCCTGTTTGTGAATGGTATGTTCTTTGACCTGGATGTAGTGGATGTTATCTCACTCCTCGAGGTTGTCCGGCAAGAACTTCGGGTCATGGAGGGACTTCACAAGATAGGTGGGTGTGTTTTGCACCTGGTTGTAGTTTGCCAGAAATTGTAAATATCTGTAGTTGTGGTGTCTTCCCCATACAGGGATGTGAGCTGTGGGTTCCCAAAATAACTTTTTGTCCAAGTCTTGCTCTTGTATGGTATGGTTTGTGCAAGTACAGAAGTGATTTGTTGTCTGTATTGTACACCAGTCTGCAGTGAAGAAAATTTATGTATTCTGTGTTACTTTAGTCTGCACCATTTCATGCGCTGAATTTTGTATACATTAATTTAAGTGATTGCCCGCTCTGGCCTGCAGTTGGTTTGAAGCCCTGACTGGTAAAGGCATGTTTATAAACTCTTTTAGTACCAGTGAAGAATACCGTTTTCTGTGATGTTATGCCGTTTAGTATGGTAGAAGTTTACCATTGTTTCGAAGGAACTTACTGCTTCCATCATCAGGACAAATAAGCCAAACCAGCTGGAAGCAAGTAGCAAGAGCTCTGCATAGATGGAGCTCCATTGCAATAGCATGAACAGGGAGGATGGAAACCTCTCATCTTCCTAAAAGACTGCAGGAAACCTTCATATGTTTCTCTACAGCGACTTCCTCCTTCCATCACTGGCCACATTGAAGTATGTGGTAGTGTAGTTGGGTTGAGACACTGTGTTACAAGCTGGAAGGTTGCGGGTTCGATTCCTGATTAGGTCATTGGATTTTTCAATTGACCTAATCCTTCCATCTGCACTGTGGCCCTGGGGTACACTCATCCTCTAACAGAAATGAGTACCAGGAATCTTCGGGGGGGGGGGGGAAAAGGCAGCCAGCACATAAGGCTGACCTCACCACCAAGTGTGAGCTGATTGTCTAGAAAGTGTGGGAACCTCGATGTCTCACAAACCTGTGGGCCTCCAAGGCCTGTTACAGGGATAGCTTTAACTTTATCCCCTGCTACACTGCTACAGCCCCTGTTACTGTATGGGTCCACCTCTACTTTCCATCGGTCATTTGTGTTACTTTTGTCCCATCTTGTTCCATTTCTTCATTTTTGTCTAATACAGACCTTTTTATGGTCAACAATAGTTGCTCTTCTCCATGTTCCTGTTGGTTCTGTCAGGACTCCTTTACAGGCCTGTATCTGAACCAGGTTATCTACACGCATATTGCTTTGCATGCTCCTTTGCTGGTTGCTTGACTCACTCTTTGACCCTGAAGATGGGAGCAGTAGATTTCTACGAAACACCAGCAAACTTCTGCTGGACTGCACAGATATATATCGCCAGATGATGGTACTCTTTCATACTCCTAGCTGCAGTACTTCGTTAATTATCATTCTTAAGCCGAAACCTAGCTGAAAATTGTTTTTTGGTAACTGGTGAATTGAGCACTGACCTAATAGTCTGAAATATAAGAATGCGCATTCTTGTTAATAAACAGTGGGATTGCCTTTTGAATTGTGCAGGAATTTCTGACTCACACATGAGCTCACTGTTGGCGCTCGACTTCTCCAGTTCTGGTTCGTCGTCAAGCCCAGAATATGCCATTGACATTCGTGACTCAGCTGTGATGTGGGTGAATGACATTGAAAATGATAAGCAGTATCGCCGTTGGTCTGATTCTCTTATGGAGCTGCTTCGTCCGACTTTTCCAGGCATGCTGCGCAGTGTCAGACGGAACCTGTACAACTTGGTGAGTGTCGTCATTTGTTACCCTGATCAGCAAGACTAATTCAGTTCATTTACTGAATGTTTCATATTCATTGAACTTTCTTTGTTGTCATGACACGGTAGTTTATTCAGTGTACCATATGCTGTCAGCTGGGATAGCTCAGATAGTGATTAGGCTATGTGCTGGATGGATTTGGAATTGGGGTTTGATCTGAGGCAAAAGCAGGAGGTTTTGTCTCTTCTCCTCAGCATCCAGACTGCCTCATGAACACCCAGCATCATATCTGTTGGGTAGTGTGGGCCCCCTGTCCATGTTGATAAAGGGGCTGGGGTTTAAAACTGACTGTTTACCTCCATTCAGTGCTCAGGTTAAGATTACATGGGCTTGTACCTCCACTCCCCTGTATGTCTTCATGGTTTGGTCCTCAGTTAGCTTAATGATTTGCTCTGATTTGTAATATCTTCACAGCCTTTATAGTTACCAACAGTAATAGCTGTGTTATAAAATGGTTGAGTCTTTTATCATTGGAGCTCTTCTGCGACCGTCATTTGAAGGTGTTGGAGAACAAGGTAAGAGGAAGGAAACTGTATAATGAAGACCTCATAATTTTGTATGCTTCATCTGTTAGGGGTTCAGATTTAGAAGGGTGGTGTGGGCAGGGTGTGTAGAATATGAGGGTGAGATGAGAAGTGCGCACAGAAAAGCCAGGGCATAGAACTAACTCCATGGAGCTGAGCCCGTGTTAAGAAGCTGCAAGTTGCACAGCTACTCAAGAATTTACCAATATTTTATGAAGTGTGAAGGTCCGTCACTGTGTTCACAAGAGCCTGCGACTGGTCCTCATCCTGAGCCAGATCAATCCAATCCGTACTTCCCCATCCTATCTCTTTAAGGTCCATCTTAATATTGTCCTCCTACTTATGTCTGTGTATACCTAGCGGTGTCTTATTCTGACTTTCCCACCAAAAATATATGCCTCTTCTCCCTATGCGTGCTACTTTTCCTGCCCATTTAATCCTCCTTGACTTGATTATTGCAACTGTATTTGACAAAGAGTACAAGTTATGGAGTTCCTCATTGTGCAGTTTTCTTCAACCTTCTGTTACTTCATCCCTTTTTGGTCAGATATTCTCAGTACCCTCTTCTCAAACACGCTCAGTGTATATTCTTCCCTTAATCTCAGAGACTAAGTTTCACACCCATATAAAGCCACAGGCAGATTTGTAGTTTTGTATGTTCTGATTTTTATATTTTTAGACAGCATACAAGAAGACAAAATGTTCTGGACTGAATGGTAGCAAGCATTACCTGAATTCAGTCTGCTCTTAATTTCCTCCTGAATCAAATTTTGATTTGTTACTGTCATTCCCAAATATCTGAACTCTGCCACATTTTCAGAACATGTTACCTATCTTTATGTCCTGATATTGCCCTACATTCTGGTGATGAGACAGCAACATATACTTAGTTTTCTCTGTGTTTGCTTCTACACCAACTTCCATATTATCATGAGTTAAAGTTTTTGTAGGATCTGAGGCTCTCACAGCAGTGGTTATGAAGAGTTCTGTCTTCTGGGCTATAGCGCCATGTAGGAGCTGAGGTTCTCACAGCAGTGGTTATGAAGAGTTCTGTCTTTTGGGCTATAGTGCTGTGTAGGATCTGAGGCTCTCACAGCAGTGGTTATGAAGAGTTCTGTCTTCTGGGCTATAGCGCCATGTAGGAGCTGAGGTTCTCACAGTGGTGGTTATAAAGAGTTCTGTCTTTTGGGCTATAGTGCTGTGTAGGATCTGAGGCTCTCACAGCGGTGGTTATGAAGAGTTCTGTCTTCTGGGCTATAGCGCCATGTAGGAGCTGAGGTTCTCACAGCGGTGGATATAGCGCTGTGTAGGAGCTGAGTTTCTCACAGTGGTGGTTATGAACAGTTCTGTCTTCTGGGATATAGCGCTTTGTAGGATCTGAGGCTCTCACAACGGTGGTTATGAAGAGTTCTGTCTTCTGGGATATAGCACTGTGTAGGAGCTGAGGTTCTGACAGCGGTGGTTATGAAGAGTTCTGGCTTCTGGGCTATAGCGCCATGTAGGAGCTGAGGTTCTCATACCGGTGGATATAGCGCTGTGTAGGAGCTGAGTTTCTCACAGTGGTGGTTATGAACAGTTCTGTCTTCTGGGATATAGCGCTTTGTAGGATCTGAGGCTCTCACAGTGGTGGTTATGAAGAGTTCTGTCTTCTGGGATATAGCACTGTGTAGGAGCTGAGGTTCTGACAGCGGTGGTTATGAAGAGTTCTGTCTTCTGGGCTATAGCGCTTTGTAGGGTCTGAGGCTCTCACAGCGGTGGTTATGAAGCGTTCTGTCTTCTGGGATATAGCGCTGTGTAGGATCTCAGGCTCTCACAGCTGTGGTTATGAAGAGTTCTGTCTTCTGGGATATAGCACTTTGTAGGAGCTGAGGCTCTCACAGCGGTGGTTATGAAGAGTTCTGTCTTCTGGTATATAGCGCTGTGTAGGAGCTGAGGCTCTCACATCAGTGGTTATGAAGATTTCTGTCTTCTGGGATGTAACTCGACCAGCTTTGATGTTGGTATCTTGTTCGGCTTATTTGACGCTGAAGATGGAGGCATTGTGTGCCTCTGAAACATTGGTTGCCTTTCAGTGCACTGTATGGCTATATATCCCAGAAGATAGAACTCCAGGATATATGTGTTTTTCTTTATGGTATCAATGTTGTCAATCAGTAAATTCACATCCTCAGCATAGACCAGCAGTTGATGCTTCCCATTTAATTTCAGCCCCACCTGGTTTTCCTGGACCTTCCTAATGGCATATTCTAAAGCACAGTTGGAAAGCAATGGCAATTGCAAATGAAATTTTTCTGTGCTCCAAGTAGAATTAATGAGTGTATGGATCTCGGACTGTAATGTTGCATCTCCTGCTTGAATCAGCTCTACTGGGATTTGATCACTACATGGCAATTTATACTCAGATGGGAGGATAATATTAAAATGTACAATGGAATAGGATGTGGACTGGATTTGTGTGTCTCACATTGGGTCCAGTGTAAAGTTCTTGTGAGCATGATAATGAACCTTCAGATTCCATAAAAGGTGCAGAATTTTGTGAGGGTTTGGGATTCAGTACAATGAGGCTGCAGATGCCTTGGGTATGGAGAAATTGAGCATTTCATTTCTTGGTCCTAAAACACCAGTCCCAATCTCACACTATCTTGGGAGGCTCGAAACTGAGGAGTGACTGATGAAGAAGTACTCTAGAAATTGTCACATCCAGTGTGAGACAGTCCAAGCTCACTGCACACTAAGATGGCACCTACATGTTACGGGCATTATGGATGAACTATGGACATGAAGAGTATCCTGCCGCTGCATACTTCATCATTGCCCAGCTTTGGCCAGGCACAGAATGCAGATCTTTGGATATGCACAGTTGGAACTGTTAGATACTAATAGGACCTTAATTACAAAGGTTGTGGCTCTGACATTGAGACAGGGCTCTTTTGAACGGTTGTAGTGTAATTAGAGGTGCACATAGTGGACCCAGTAGTGGTCTAAGTGCTAGGGGCAGCTAGAAGTTGTCCTCCCCCATGTCAGTACCCAATACATTTAAGTAGCTGAGCAGCTGTTAACTTCTGAAGAAAGACCTTGCTTCATGGGTCAGTTAGTTCATTGGTTTGGTCTCTTTGGGGCCTTTGTCTGTTGTTGAAAGCAATTTAATGCCAGTTTTTGGCTTGCTGAACCTATTCAGGGCCCAATCTGAAAAGGAGGGCATATGGGAGTGTAGAAAATAATCAAGACAGCTTGGTTATAAGGTGATTCGTTCCTGGGGAAATGTTCATGGATGAAAATAAGGGAGCATCATGCCCATTCCAGAAGCTGCTTTCAAAAAATCAGTTAACAGAACCTGTTTTTATCACAGGTTCACATGTAACGTATGCTGTTGGCATGAATATTGGTGCCTTCATCACAGAACGTTTCTTTCACAGTAAAAGTTTTTAAGCTTTACCCAGTCTTTTTATTTCCAACTTCACCCCTGCCAGCTACAAATTAATGTGCACATAACTTAAAAAGGGAAGAGATGGTTTGGCATGGAAAAATGTAAAACTCTTGGCATATGTTGTTCCTGTATGAGGGTTACTATGTCACATGATTGTATTGTGGCAGTAACTTTGTAGGTGGTGGTTGTAGGCTTCAGACGGTGGACCTGCAAAAGAAAATTGTGGTGCTGGAAGCCTTTTGACATGATAAACCAATAAAATGGTAAACATTTCTCTGTCTTATTTCATTTACTCAAAAGAGATTAACTGAGAAACTGCCACAAATTGTTCAGCCTGCTCAGCATAAGAGAGACATGCTTTTTGTGTATACTCTTCCCATGCTGGTTCAGGCTAGTGGGATGATCAAAAGACAGATAGTTTAGATACACTAGTTTCTCTTCAATGTCTTTCCAGTTTATTGTTAAACAACTACCATGAAGCAAGCTTCTACGTATGTTGACTTTAATCTTAAGCTGTACTAAACTGTCTGGTGATTTCGTCCTTTAAGAAAGGAACGTAGGCTAATCCAGTGTCATTCTATATGTACAGAATAGCTGACTGATGTATGAAGATATTGAATATCAAGCTATTCACAAAGGAGTGGGTACATTTAAAGTGATAATTTGCCTCTTTCAATTTCTGATGCATGCAGTTGCTATATGCGACCATTTTTTTATATGAATATAGTTTCCACTTCATCAGGTGATGTCACTTCTGATCACTGCAGCACATACTTTGAAGCTTTATCTCATGAAATTTCATGCCACCAAGTTATTTGATCAGCCTTCTTTCCCCCAAAATCATAAGCAAAGTTACATGATTGTCATTGGAGATATTGTCAGTAGTCCATTGCTACTCCTACTGTACCTTGCACGTGCATCAACACAGCTGTATAATGCATGGCTCATAAGGTTAATAGAATCATGGGTATCTGAGTTCATTAATTTAGTTGTACTGAATTGTAAGTTTGGTTTGTTTCAGGTGATCCTTGCCAATCCAGCAAAGAAAGAAACCAGGCCTCTGTTGAAGTTGGCGGAGTCGTTCTATGTCCATGTGGCTCCTTTGAGAATTGGTCTCGTATTCACTGTGGATCCTGATCAGTCTGTCAGTGGTAATATGGATGCTGGCGTTGCCTTGCTCAATGCTTTCAACTATGTTTCAGATGTTAAGGATGCATACCATGGTCTTGCCTTCATTACTGATGTAAGTTCATGAACATGTTATTCTCTTGAAAACATGAAAGGAATCTTTATTTTATAAGATCTGAGGCTTTCACAGGCAGTCAAGATTTATATTACCCTCTTGCAAGTAATTATAGCCATTTCATGAATTTGAGCTCTTTACAATTCACTGTCATGCGCATTAAGTCTTATCAGTCTGCTGTGTCTGAAGAAGTTGTTGCATCATAATGGCTCCCATTGTTGTAGATTCCTTTGTTTCCATGTGCACGCTGTTACTGGTTACCATCTGGCTCATAGCTCCTCATGGTCGCTACTCGTAGACATTCATTCCTAGCTGTGTCTGACTACCACTTGCTATCACAGGCTGGCACTCACTTCAACTCAGAACTCATCTGTCTCAGAACTAAGAACATGTTAAAGAACTGTTGCTTTGCAATGGCCAGCTGTTTAGGTTGCTGTAGCCTAGCAGTGGATGTTTCTTCTTGCTCCACAATTCTGACTTTCAGTCATCATGTCACAATATCAGCAAGTTTTTATGTATGTTATTTGTGGTAGATCACATTAAATGTCAACATTGACGTATTGTTTGATAACTTACAAGATTGGAAAGGGACATGGGAAAATGCAAGGGAATTTAATAGTACAAAAGTATATATAACAAATTATGAGACATATTGCTGAATTCACAATGGTTGTTTGACTAGTTATGCTTTATTTTACTTTGTCCACTTCTACAATTGCCAGTAATCTGTGATGTGAAGCTAGTTAGGTGGCTGAACTGGACAGCTGAGTTCATTTCATGGAGAGCAGTAAGAGATTTTCTCATAGCTCCTTTACAAAAAATATTTCTGGGTCCAGCCTGACCATATAGAATTTGGATCAGGAAGGTCAGCATCACATTTTATTTGCCGTGAAGACCCTGTTCAGAGTGCTTGTATCACCATCCCTTCTGACGAACATTTACCTGCGAATGAAGGATTTTTTTTTTTTGTGCTGATCCTATGTTAGATTTCATGGGAATTTTAACATTGTAACATGTAACCCAGTAAAAATATTGTTATGCAGTTGATGTTGTGTTCACTATGTATACACAGTGTGACAAATTCCTGAACTGATGCTATTACAGTAGTGCTACTAGGATGAATGGAACTAGTTAGAACTTTTATTTATATAATATGCAACTTTCAACTTGTTACATTGATGCATATGAGGATTACTATTGTTTTGGTGAAGTTAGTTTTTTCTCGTATCGAAGGTTTCAAAATGGAACAAAGAGCAGCAATTAAGTTTTGTGTAAAATTATAGAAAACAGCTACTGAAATGTTTGAAACGTTGAAATCTGCATACAGTGTAATGTTTATTAGAACAATTGTGTTTGAATGGCATAAAAGGTTCAAAAAAGCTCAGAAAGCAAGAATGCAAAAATCACATGTGAAAACAATGTTGTCTGCATTTTTCAGTGCTAAAGGTATCATTCATCATGAATTTGTGCCAGAAAAACAAACTGTAAATGGTAATTTTTTATAAATAACTGATTAAGAGATTGATCACATCAGACCTGAGTTTCAGGAAAGTGGGTCCTGGTATCTTCTGCTCGACAGTGCACTGGCTCATCCTTCAGGTGTTGTCTTTGAGTTTTTGGTGGAACAAGGGATTACTGTGATAACTCATTCACCCTACTCCCCTGATTTAGCACTGGCTGTATTTTTGTTTCCTAAATTAAAAATTGTGATGAAAGGGATGAGATTCAAGCAGACTGTGATGACAGAACTGAAGACAATGTGGGAAGAAGGGTTTTCGTGGCATTCAATTCATTATATGAACAATGTAAATATTGTGTGGAATATGAGCAGGTCCATATTGAGTGATGTTACTAATAAATATTTTTTATATATTGAACAAAACAGAATGTTCACTTGCTGTTCAAATCATAGACCAAGTTAAAAAAAATAATAATAAAAGCAACTTATCAGAAGAGACTCTGGAACATTTCATGAACTCTGTACCTGAACTGAGTGTACAGGGTAGAATGAATCCTTGCTCATATATCTGTGCATGCTGTACTAAAAGACAGTCTTCTTGATGCAGCAACATACAGTAACAGGTGTTTTTGGATTCAAAGTTCTTATGACAGTGACAGTGAGAGTCTGGGTTAATACCGTGTAATTTGGAGAGAGCTCAACGTTTCAGAGGAACGTGCTGCCTCTGTCTTCAGGGTTGAGGAGAGAAACCAGCAGAAACAGGCTACAAACTGATCAGTTATACTAGTTTCATGCTTGGTTTACTAGCTGACCCTGTGTGAACTGCAAGGCTTTACAACCCAGAAGGCCCATACTCTTAACAGTTTTTTTGTGCTGGGATATTCTATGGGCTAAAACTACTGAAATTAACTTATTGTTGATAATTTTGGGATTTAAAGTAAAATAAATAATCAGGAATTGCCAAATGCTAATGTTGGGTAGGTGTTCACATTGTAGAACAAATTGACACTTTTTTTTTTTGCAACAGTGGAAAAATTAGTAACAGAACAGTTATGTTATATAAATCCCTTTGGAACTATATGAACTATTTTGACACATTACATAAGATTTTTTTTTGTTTTAGTCAAGAGGGGTGTTTTTCATATATTACACAATTTTATATATGTAACACATGCAAATTAAGCCCTTGAAATCATTGATTGAGAGTTATTTTGATGCAGGTGTATGCCACATTAAAAGAAGATCGAGATGTGGTTGTTGAAGATGTGATTTCGTTGTTAAGCAGCAAATTCCGCTCAGCAGATGTGGATGAGATATTTGGAGAGGACTCAGAATATGATACAGGACGAAGGTTGGCCCGTGATTTTGTGGAGCGATCAGGCTTTAGGAAAATACCACAGGTATAGTAATTTTAAAACAAAAACAAGATTGACCATTAGCATAAAATATGAAATTTCACAAATGTAGTCGCATTATTTTTCCTTTGTCAGAAGTGTAACTTGAACAGTTATAGGTTCTCATGATGACCTTTGTCCGATTTTTGGGCTATAGTGCCATGTAGTTGGCTGAGGGAGGATACTGCTTCACTCTTGAAATAGAAGACCCTTCTACATTCCTTGTGTGTTCCTCTAAAATACCAGAAATCTTTTTAAGTGCTACATTGCATAAGAATTCCAAAAATAAAAATCTGAATATTGGTCACAAGAATTTGTTGGGTTACCTCACTCATTCTACTTAATTTAGAGTGACATTAAAATCACAATCGGTTGCTAGATATTTTTGCCTCAGTTGGCCATCTTCAGGCAAGTGTTCACTCTTTTCTGTGTTTGTTGCTGTTTCATCTCCAGTTTACCTGTCTTCCTTCTGAAGCCATCTTGTTTCCAATGCATCTTTTATGCTAGGCGTGCATATTTTCACCTTTGCAAAAGAGTACAACACACACACACACTCCCCCCTCCCTCTGAGTGTTAATGATAGCCGAGCAAAATAAGAGGACTATTCTGTAAGGAAGTATGGTATGACAGTTAACGCTGATGCAGAACATGTTTCTGTTACAGGCCTTGCTGAATGGTATACCTATTTCGGAGAAACACCTGAATGCGGATGACTTCGAGGAAGCAGTGCTGTCAGAAATCATGAACCAAACACCTGTTTTTCAGAAGGCAGTGTACAAAGGGGATTTCACAGATGGAGATAATGCATTGGATTACATAATGAACCAGCCCAATGTCATGCCCAGGTGAACTGCATTTTTTAAATAATTGAATTTAGATTTTTTATTATTTTAATGTGTATATAATTAATATTAGAATAAATTTAGTATACACTTGTTGCTGTTCACTAGAAGAATGTAGCTATTGTCTGATTGTGGTCGTCCAGATTGTGACATTGTACAGCCCTGAAGGCAATCCTGATGTTTTGGGGGAATATACTGCCTCCATCTTCAGAGTTAAAGTGTTAAGGTTGAAAAATTGGCTCTTTGATGAGATGAGTGGGGCTTGTAGCATGCATGGGGAGAAGAGGAATGCATGGTAGGAAAGACAGATAGAAAGAGACAACTAAGAAAACCTAGATGTAGATGGGAGGATAATATTCAAATGTAGTTTAGAGTAATAGGATTGAGTGGTATGGACTGCATTGATCTGGCTCTTGTGAACACTTTGATGAACCTTCAGGTTCCATAAAATGTTGGGAAATTCTTGAGTGGCTGGGCAACTGGTGGTTCCTCAAGAAGGATTCAGCTTGTTGAAGTTAGTCGGTTATGTATGCAGGAAGGTGGCCACTGAGGGAGGTAGTAATTCTGATGATTGCAGTCTGAACAACCATCACAATACATCTAAGCATGTAATTGTTCTCTCTGAGAACATGTTTCAGAGCCTAATTTTTATTTTGTATCATGTAAATGTGTTACAAGAGTTTTGGCATCCCTGTTCCTCTTTGCATCTGCTCTGTGGTTGTTGTATCCCAGTGTTTCAAGGGTACTCAGGTTGCCGAGCAGCAAGCAGATTCAGTATATGGCAGGGTTAAATTAACAGATGTTGACAGGAAGGTTAGATAAAACAGTATTTTATTATGAAAATTATGAAAGGCACAAGTATTCTCCATAAGGGTGCGGTAGTCCCCGCTCACTAGCAGAGCTTGTGTCCTTCCCTCTCTCTAAACAATGACCTGAACTCTCCCATCAGACCTTGACATTAATTTTTTTTTTTTTGACTTGCCGGCCCATGCCTCATATCACAAACAAATGGGTGTTCTGTCCTACTCACATGTGGGTGTGGGGTGGGGGGTTGAGATCACACAGTTTGTTTAGTTTATGTTCTGGGCTGCCTAGACACTATGAGTTGGTCCACACCTTCAGAAGGGTATTTAAAATGCTTTTTTGCTATGCCCTATAACCACCAAACAAACATGAACATCACACACTATAATAATGTACCTACACCCACCTCTACGTGTGCAACATGGTTCCACAGGTATTTTCCATTGCTGTACAAATATCAAAAACTGAAATATATGCAGAAGTCTTTTCAAACATCTGTGGCAAATGGTGGACATATTGCTGGACTGGCTCTTCATGTTTGGATTTATGGCCTTCAGTTATTTCTTACAAGACCCAGGAGCTATGTCTTGATGGGGAGTTGAAGCTGCAACCCCTTTCAGAAACTGTAAAATCACTACTTTTTACAGTAAGGATGGCTTTTTCTTGCAGGTGCATTCTTGCACTATTCCGTTAGTAACGATGATAACACCAGACCGATATTCATAGGGCTAAACAAAACAGCACACAAGGCAAGGATGCTGCAAGAAGAAAGTAGCAGATGAAAATATAAGCTTAATGATCTCAAGCAAATGTATTTTAATCAGTGAGTGATGAAACTGGAATAACATTGGGATATTTAAACTTAAGAATTCATGCAGTTTAGCAATTTCAACAAGTGAACAGTTGCCTGAGGATGGCCAAGTATGGCCAAAACATATAACAGTTTAATTTTAATTTTAATATTATTTTAGATTAACACTTTGTGGACCGTGCACACTTTAAAAGGTTTTTCACTTTTAAACATGGCAGACCGTGTGTTAACAGGCTTTTAGAACACGATAAGTTGCAACACACTATACATCGCTCTGGCGCCACCTACATTGCACGCAACCGCCTGCAGATGCATGATAAGACTCTGGAATATTTAGTTAGCCATCAGTAACTTGACCTCGCTGTTTACTTAACCGACTATAAAGGAAAATGCTTTACCTTCTTCAAGCTGTGTGTATCAGCCAGTAGCTAGTGGGGAGAATGGCTCAAGGACAAATTCTCCTCCGATGACCTAGCTGACCTGCCTTGTGAGACACATAGTAATGGATTGTCATTCAGACAGCGACAGTGCTGGGGGACAACAAAGAATTGTGTCCACAGGCAGTAAAAATGACAGTAGCTCCGACGATAATGCGGGTAATAACATTGCACGTAGTAACATTGCGGGGACAGCAAAAAATCTAAAGAAAATCTAAACCCTGATTCAAAATTGAAATACAAAGCATTTCTGATGAATGTGGCAAAGGCCTGGGCTACAGTCCAGATGGTGGCGGCAGAACCAGGGTCACACAAAGACTTAGTACGACCGGGCCCATCAACTCCCACCCCATGAAGGCCATGTGGACACCCCAGGGCGACTCTTGAGTGATATGCGGAAAAATACCCTCGTGAAAATTGTGAAGAGTGAACATTCCAAGGGGAAGAATACTTCTAGGCAATGCCGTGTTCACACAGTTCACAAAAAAATGAGTATGTCTACATTTGCAAGTTCTGTGTAATGCGACTTCACAAAGGGGAACGTTTCCAGAAATATCACACCCTCAAGCACTTCTAGAAGCATTGGTAAGTGTTCTCCAAAGTTTTAGTTCAAAAAATTGATTAGGAGATTTTATATTAATTTTTAAAGTGAACAGTGCACAAGTTAGGGTAGTATGTTTAAAAATGCCGGTCCCCAGGGTGATTTAAATATTTAAATCACCAGTCTGCGAAGTGTTAAGGAGTACTTGTAAGTGAAGTTACATTACAGATGGGAGTGAGTGTGTAAAGAAGAAATTCAAATGTAGTGCATGGTCATTATAGTTAGTCATCACTGTACTGTTGCAGATTGAATGATCGTGTTCTAAATCAGGACAAGAACCAATATCTGGATTTGATGGGGCTTCCCCTTGCTGGGGAAATACCTCTTACATTGGAATCATTCTCTGGTCTTTCACCTCGTGACAAGACTGCTACCATTATCAGTCGAGGTGTCCAGTACTTCCTGAAGAAGCAGCATGTGGATACAACTGTGACAGCATTACACATTATCACCCACTGGATTGTGACAGACCTCGGGACAGCTGATGGAAGACAGCTGTTAATACACGCCTTAGATCAGATGGTATGTCTGTAATCTTCCTTATTGATGATGCGGAATTGAATTCTTTAGTATGACTTGAAAGGGATTATGGAAGATAATAACTTTGATGCAGTTTTAACCCTTTATATGTTGAGCCCCATCATAAAACTGTTAGAAATGCAGAGGCTTCTTGTTATAAATGCAATTGCATAAAAAGTTCCCGATTCTCTCTCGGATTACCTTCAAATGACTATGGATTTATATAGTGTGAAAGCATCTTCCTTCCTCGAAATCTTGATGTATTACACCTGATGACATCTATTGACAGGAGTGCTGTACTCAGTGGTTAACATCAAGCCAGTCTCTTCAGCTGTGGCAGTTTTAATATCATACCAAGCTGGTGTAATTGGCTTGTGGTGTGCAGAGTCTTAATGGTTCTTTTGTAACATATGATTCAGGCTAAATACCACATTTAAATGAATGGTAGGTGGCAGATCTAGGATTATGTTATTGCTATCACATTAAATATAATATTTTTTTTAAAAAATGTTACATGTCCACTTCCTTTGTGACATGAAAGTCGCTAGATCTTGTTGAATTTCATCGGTAGGTCTCACTCTCGTCACCATTTCTTTCTGAGGCTCACTATCTTCAGTGTTCTTGACTTCTTTATCCTCATTTTAGTATTATGTTGTGGGGAATTACTGCTTTTGATTCATAGCTTCAGTGGTACTTGGGTAGACTGGTAGCTAGTGTCTCCTGATGTTGAAACATTTGTTGTTTTTTTCTGCGTGGAGTGAGTTCTAGTGTATAGGACATATTACAAGTATTAGCCCACCAGGATTGTGATACGTTTATTGTCCTGGCCCGAATGTAAGGCATGATTTCTTTTCAAATAGTGCTTCTTAGAAAAGAGGTGTTGCCTTATTTTTGGAAGAATATATATATGAAGGTGATTATGAGATATTAATTTTATGAGTACTGATGAAAATACCTAGAATTATACTTCAGGTATTCAGTTTCAAATTTATTGTTTCTTAATAATGTAATTTTTACTTCTTTTTACTTACAACCATCAGAACTAACTCACATATTCAATTTTATATTTAAAATTTTTTTACGATTTTCTCATTGGAAGAACATGGGGACATCTTATATTTGGACTTATGCAGTAAACATTGATGTATATTTGCACTTGAATGTAAGATGATATTCATTTCTTAACTCTCAAATAGTGTAAATACCTCATATTCCATTTGGGTAAATACTGAACTTCAGAATCTGGTTTGTTTCTTGGTACACCACAGTGACTTAATGAGTTATGATAACAGCAGAACCTTTGACTCATATTCAGGAGGTGCCTAGTTTGAATTTGAAGAACTAACTGCCTCCTTTCCTTTGATATGACATGGACTACATAGAAAATAATATCTTAAAAATGCTTCTTTGCCACGGTCAAGTCTTTACCAAGTTGTTACCTGGCAACAATAGGGGGATACACAGACAGACCTGCAGACACATGTGTTCAACAATTCTATTGTTGTATGAATTTGTTGCTGTGGGAACATGTTTAACTGATCCATTCCATAGCAATGATAGAAGGAGGGATACACCTTACCAAGCATTTGTCTAGCAATGATAGAAGGACGGATACACCTTACCAAGCATTTGTCTAGCAATGATAGAAGGAGGGATACACCTTACCAACCATTTGCCTAGCAATGATAGAAGGAGAGATACACATATGCATAGACTGATAGGAGGGATTTACGAAGTTTGCTGTTGAGATGGGCTTAGGTGCCAAGTTTCATAAAGCCTGGTTCAGGGATTGAAAATTTGATGAGGCAGATACACAGACACACAGGCAGCAAGGTGATCTCATATGTCTACTTTCCTTTTTTCAAAATGAGGAAAAGCTAAAAAATATCATGGTGAAGAAGGATCCAATGACATATATTTTCTTTGCGTAGCTAATAAAGTCTGAGCATTTTACTCATACATCACAGAGATAACATAGATATTGTTTTGTTGCCAGCGTTCCAGTGGAGGTATCTCTGTGGGTGTCCTGCTGAATCCGCCAACAGTGGAACAGTTTCAGCAGGTTGACAGAATTGTTTTGGCTGCTCCACGAGTCCTGCAGCCAGGCCATGCCAGCCAGTTTATAATCAAGATCTTGTCAGATGACAGTCTGGTTGAAGCACTCAATAACGGACAGAAGGATCTAAGTGACATCTCTGTTCCAGTAAGCATCTTCTCAGTTTCCTCCATGAATCATTTTGAATTCATAATGTCAAGCTAGAATTCTTATCCCTGTACGACAGCAAATATTTGGTGTAATTCACTGGCATTTTGACACATATTTTGTGACAGATTGTTATATACAGAAATTTTTTTGGATTTTTGATGGCTTCTTGAGAAGCATCTCACACTATATGTGATAATTCCTGTATTATATTTCACTTTTATTGACAGTAAGTGACAGGCAGTTTTGTCTTGAGGGTTGGTCACATGTACAGATGTTTTGTGACAGATGTGGCAGTCAAGATTATGCATGATGCAGAAGCTGTACCAATATATTAAGCAGCACATTTTCCATTTGTTACATTAAGGTGAAATTGCTCAATTAAGCACCATGCTATGATGACATGGGGGAGTGGAGGTATAGCCCCTGGGGATTCTTATCCTCAACATAGATGGAAGTGAATTATTAGTTTCTTGCTGTGGCCAGTTTACTCCTGGAGAAGGAGGCTTGAGCACCAGAATTAGTTTGAATTTGGCGGCAGAGATAATACGTCTCTGCTGGGAATGGAGCTCTGGTCACCCAGACCAGAGACTGGTATTATGAGGTTTGAAGTTCCCATGGCAGTGGCCATGGCTGTTACTGTCTTCCATGATGTGATGCCATGTAGTTTGATAGGTAGAGCTTGACTACTATGTGATGGCACAAACCTGTGCGAATCAGTGAAAGCGAAGGATGAAGCAGGGCAGCGGACTGAGTGAGCCAGTTATGAGCCGCAGTAAGGCAGAAACAAGCTGCCAGCAGTGAACTAAATTGCCTACCCCTCATATCTGCTGTAAGAGAATATGGACTCATCTGTACAGCCCATACAGGAAAATTGTCTTCTGTGCCTTTGCCATCAAATTGTAATTGAGCTCTGCCAACATTTTGGAGGAAAGTGCTTCCAACATCTTCAGGATACTCTTGTACCCTGAAGAGAGAAAGTATGTTCCATAAAATGTGATTACTATATACGAGTACTAAAATACACAATGTGATGTCCTACAAGACAGTAATCATTATAGTCATTTACAGCTCTTTACTAGAGTGATCGTGGAGCTGGATACTTACCATTGCAATTGCAGTTCAGTAGTGTGCGAATGTGGTAATCATGTAAGTTTTGAGGTTTTCACGGCGATGACTATGAAGAAAGTCGTCTTCTGGGTTTTGGCGCCGTGTAGTCTTCGTTTTGGCCATTCACTTGCTCTGAAGATGGAGGCGATACGTTCCTCCAAAACGTTTGCCAAAACGAAGAATACACGGCGCCAAAACCCAGAAGATGACTTTCTTCGTGGTAATCATGTGTTTGCCTGATGATGGCTTTAATAGCCGAAACATGCAGATAAGCTAATTTTAGCCTTGACCATTGTATTGTGTTGTGACAGACTCTAGTAAAGAGTTGTACATGGTATATGGTATATATAGTGTATGTATATGTATATGGTAACACAACAGGATGCACGAAATGAAAATTATGAACATTATATTGACCAAGCTATCCCAGTATTAAGTTCTGTCTTAAAGCCTGCAAGAACCACTAGTGTGACTGCCTGCAATTTTTTTTAAATTTTTTATTGACAGTTAATGTCTTCAGTTTTCTTCAACTTGTCTGTGTGTTGTGTGATTACTGAGTATGTAGCTTTTTGTGAACCATGCAATATTTATCACCACAACCAGGTTTTGAGCAGAGAACCATCTGTGAACTGACAGAATATTCGCTGACAAAGCTGTAATTGCAGAGGAAAGTGGCAGATAGAACTTCGTAGTGTTAACATTTAGTTTTCCCATTCTTCTGTGCATATCCAGCAGTGGTAGGTGACCTGTGTTGGAAGGCTTCTGACATAATTTTCTTTTGTGGATTGACTGTTGACAGCCTTCGGTCACAGCTGTTCAGATTGACATTGAAATGTCTTTCACAAAAGTTTAACCTTTCATTTCAGGGAGTGGATTTGATGGAATTATCAGAAGCTCTGAAGGAGGACAGTTTTGAGTTGTTGAAAGTTCAGCAGCTGTACTGCAGACAGGTGCTGAATGTTCCTGCAGGTGCCAGAGCCATTGTGACCAATGGGAGGATACTGGGACCACTGGAGCAGACGGAGAAGTTCACGTTGGATGACTTCTCTCTCTTGGAGAGGTACAGCATGAACAGCTATGGGGATAAGATCCTGCAGACACTCAAGAAGACGACAGAACATAACGCTGATGGTAATGCATGTCTCTTTTTGTTTCTTGTATGGATTTCTTATTACTTCTAGAAAGATAATGAGGGAATGCATGCTTGCTATGTCTGTAAGATATCCGGCGACAAATGTAACTGGCAACAAATTATGCTGTGTATGTTGGTGTAGTAATGAAGAGCTTCATAACCTGTACTCTTTGCCAAATATAATTAGAATGATCAAGCCAAGGTGAATGAGATGGGCAGTGCATGTAGAATGAATGGGGGAGAAGAGGAATGCATATAGGATGTTGGTGGGAAAGCCAGAAGGAAAGAGACCACTAGGAAGACCAAGAGGTAGGTGGGTAAACAATATTAAAATGTATCTTAGTGAGACAGGATGGGGTGGTATGAACCAGGTCAATCTGGTTCAGGATAGGGATCAGTGGAGTCCTGTTATGAACACAGAAATGAACTTTTGGGTTCCATAAAACGCTGGGAAGTTTGTGAGTACCTGTACAATTGGTTACTTCTCAAGAAGGGCTCAGTTCCATGAAGTTAGTTGTGTTAGTATAGTGCTTATGCCCTACACCTGCAGTCAGGAGGTGCGTGATTTGAATCTTCAGCAGTGCACCAGCTATCCTGATTCAGGTCTTTTGTGTTTTCCTTAACCACTCCAGGCATATTCCTAGGTAATATCATAATTAGTACATGGCTGTTTCCCTTAAAAAGCTCTTCAGCTCATCTTTGATTAAACATTCTGTCATTTGACTCCATAGTCGAAGATACTAGCAGCACTGTAAAGTAAATCCTTCCAATAAAACCTACTATATATCTGTCCCTTAGCTGATGTGTATGTTTTGGCAAGAGGAAGCAAATGTGTTATCGTATTAAATTTGCTGAAGATGGAAACCTTAATGAAAATATTTATCCATTTCAATAGTTCCACTTTACAGTCCTCCTAGAAATTCTAAGACATGTGGTATAAATTGAAGCAGAGTATTGTGGAAAGGACAGTATTCTGTGGTGTCTCTTCTTGCCTCTGTTATCTCTTACTGTAGCTAACCACACATCTCAACTTCAGAGCCTGTTTACAAAAAGTTTAAGTTTGACACAAAGCTAGGAGAAAAAAGTATGTTCACTATCAAAAGAAGGCTTTAATTTCCATCTCCTATTGAGGTCTAGTGGTGAAAAAATGTACTTTTTTACATGCCCACCTTGAAAGGGAACTAGATTGATTTGTGGCACAATTATGTACTCCTAAAACTGACAAATGAGTACAGCTCGTTTCTGACAGATATGTAATAGTTCAACACCAACAAATCCCATTGCTGATTGTGTTCAAATGTATGTATTTCATAAACTGATTAACATTTGTAACTTTTGTCTGAAACTTTTTTTTTTGTATTTTTGACAAGATTATATATAATATGTATGTATATAATAAGTTGTAGAAGTCTTGTTGTGATCTTGGAAGAATTTGCCACTCAAGATTCGCCGCTCTGTCCCACATTCATGTGTTACTTCTCGCTTTTAAGAAGGGCCTCACATATTCAGGCTAATAGAATTCTGATGAAGGAAGCAGAAAAAAGAAGTGGAAGTGGTATATCACAAGATGTTCTTATTAGGAATAGGGCGGTGAGGAGAATATTTTGATCTAAGAGGGAGGATATAATGGGAGGATGAAGAGTATTGCATTATGAGGAGCTTCATAATTTGTACTCCTTGCTGGATATTACAATATTCAGTTAATAATAAATGTATAATAATTATTATGATGATAAAATCAAGCAGGATGTGAATGTGAGGCAGGTAGCACATTTGGGATAAATCAGAAATTGGCACAAAATTTTGGTCATAAGACCTGAAAAGGGAGAGACTTCTTGAAGGATGTAGGTATGGATGAGAGGATAGTATTAAAATAAATTTTAAAGAAGATGGGAAGATGTTGAATGGATTCATGTGGCTCAGGAGAGAGTGCAGTGGTGAGATCTTGTGAATATGATAATGAATTTTTGAGTTCCTTAGGAGATGGGGAATTTCTTCATTGGCTGAGGAATGATTGGTTTGTAAAGAAGGACTCTCCTACAATGTGGAAGTTAGCAAGGGCCATAAACTTACTATAATTTGAAGGAGTGTCAGTGGAGAATTTGAAGAACAGCTTCCACAGCCAGATGTGTTTGTCCTGTTTTCAGATTATGATGATGTACTGAGGGATAGTAATGTGTTGATGCAGGCAGTGGCACTTCTGGTCTCTCGGCCCCAGTCACGTAACCGATTTGAGATTCCTGTTCACACTGACATTCACAGGTAGAGTATGGTATCTTATTGGGGGGGGGGCAAATTTGAATTTAATGAGTTGCACCGTTTTTATTTCAAACTTTTACTTTGGAAATGGATACTCAAAACAAGGGAACATGGTAATCTGTTCAGAGTCATGGCATATACTTTCTCACATAGTTGACCTTGACTGTGTTGTCTTCGAAACAAAACCAGTTGCTCCTCAGAGGACCAATGTTAGTTGCTGAATACTGAACAACAATGAAATTCATATGACTAGTAAAACAGTTATAAAGAAACTGATATTTTGTAATTGGGCCCCTGGGTCATGTATCTTTATTTGCTGCAGTTTTATTCAGAGACATGATCTTAAATTACTGAAATTTGGTCGCAGTTGTTCGAACCATTTCACTTAAAATAGCCATTTGGGGGGGGGAGGCATCAAACAGGCTTCTGTTTTTGGGTTTAGAATGTTCGTGTTCACTAGGCACCAACCTGTGATGGATATACTCATAAATACTGAATGTGGACAAAATCCTACCACGTATTTGAATGTTAGGAAGGCGCTCGTCCATACACACAGACATATGCATGTGCAGAAGGACAGACATACAGATGGCATTCTAAAAAACATTTTTTTTCGGATTCAAGGAGTTGAAAACTTGTAAATCCTTAAAACTCTCAAGATCATTTTTTTCCACCATCACAACACTTCATTGTACTACATACACATGAAGGTAAGAACATTGATGTGTTGTATATTCCCAAATTTTATACAGTTTTGTACTTCATCAAAATGAGGGTTGATGGTAGATTAGACTCCAAGTCCAATGGCTTGCCCCTACGACAACATGTTGTGTGTGTTTACATGTAAATGTATTGATAATTCAAGAAACCTTCATTACATAAATCTAATTGTTTCTCCAATTTATCACATCACTTTATTTTCTTGAGTGGTAGTTTACCTGCACAGGGACCGGTATGAAACTTAGCTGTGAACTGGCGAGGCCTGCGTGTTTCAGTGTCATCAAACTTCCTCCCCACAATGTGTCAGAGCCAGCATATGACATAGCCGCTATTGTGGATCCTGTATCCAGAGGGGCACAGAAGGTTGGGCCCATTCTGTCAGTCCTGCAGGAAGTTCTGAACTGCCATATCAAGGTGTACCTCAACTGTGTTGAGAAGAACAGTGATATGCCTTTGAAAAGGTAAGTACAGGTATGAGGGATTGCAGATAGGTAATTAGATTGAGGCTGTAAAAAAGAATAGAATATTGCCATTAAACTTTAGTGACTTTGATGGCCTTCAGATTTTTAAATTTGTTCTGTTCATGCTGAATAGTTCTCCAAAAGCCCATTCAGTATATTGCCACATTGCTTTTAATGTCTATGAGGGATTGAAACTGAGATTTTTTTTAAGGACTTGTGTAACATGAACATGAACACTATTCCAAACGGGGTGAGTTCCATCAATATTTGAGGCCATGCCATCGGTCAATGGCTAGTTGCTGTCTTACCCCTGTTGTGGCTTGGGTTTGATACTAAGTCAGGTCAATTATGAGTCATGATGGACAAAGTGATACTGGGCAGGTTTCCAATTCTCATTCCACCTACTGCTTCATGTTCGTCTGTCATCCGTGGCTGGTGTACCAAGTGGACTCAGTCTCACCCCATCCCAGCCAGTAAAAAAATATGTGGATATTGCTATGCTGGTATTTCACACACAAAAACATTTTGCTGTGTATGATAAACTACTGTCATATGGATGGTATTATGATGCTGAATTCTTGGTGAAGCAGTTCCCTGTAATTGAATTTTGTGATTCTATTCAAAACTAGAAATCTGACTGCATTTCAAGCTTTCTTCCTTCCAGTGGTAAAATTAAAATGTTGTGTATTTACATATATGCATGTGCACATGAATGAACACAAACACAAATACACACACTTTGTGTTCTTCAGATATTGTCAGTACTGTTCATACTCTTCCAGTTTTTATCGTTTCGTATTGGAACCGGAGATTCATTTCACATCAGATGGCAGGCAGACGAGTGGCCCAATGGCAAGATTTGCTAACATGCCAACATCTCCTTTGTTAACACAAAACATGCAGGTGCCTGAAAACTGGCTGGTGGAGTCAGTTCGCAGTCCATATGATCTTGACAATATTCGTTTGGAGGATGTGGATAGCGTTGTACACAGGTAAGCTCTCAGATTGTCACAGTATAGCAGTAATAACATTTTGACTGCCATGCCCAACTCTAGAACTACCCGCTAGCAACGTCAGGGCTGATTGGAGGTAAATATAGTTGCCCAGAAACACCCACAGTACGTTCACAGATTACTTTCTAATGACCATGTGTTATTCCCTTAGGGTCATAAATTTTTCAGCATGCTGTAACAGATTTGATCAACGCATTGCCAGCAATGGCTCTGTAAACACAGACCCACACACAACAGTAGAACGACAGGGTTATGCAACCTGTATCTTCACAACAGCTTTGGTAAACACACTTCTGCACATGTGCAATGATGTCACACCCCAACAGTGCTTAGCTATCACATGACTTGTGTTTTCTCTGTGGTCTGCAGTGGAGCAGTGTTTTCTGCATTGTCCATGCTCTGGCTATATAACATGAGTCTGCTTGCAGCTGAGGAGAGTTTTAGTTGAGTTCCAAGGTTGTAGGGTGATTGAAAACGATATCACAAGAACACTTCATAGTGATTTGAAGTGCTAGTTTCTGTGTTGAGATCCATACCAGGAGACTACTAGTGAAGATTGGGAATCATAGTGCGTGTGCACTAGGAACGTGTGTAAATCAGCAGTAGCACTGTATTGATTGTAATTAAGAGGAATTGTAACCAAAGTGCTAATAAATCCAATCATTGAATGTAGAACCCTTTATTTTTGTCACACTGCCCCCATACATGTGACAGTACTTCCAGTATTCATATGTGAATGGGAAATTAAAACATCCTTACACAAGACTTTTCTTCCATAATATTGCCTATGCAAGGTACATATACCCTATTTAATGGAGGAGATGGACTTCATCTGTCTCCAGAATGTTGCCTTGAAATGGGCCATGATAACTTCCTGTTCCATCTCCAGTACATACATAGTCATTCTACCATCATGTTAGAGTCTTTGAGACATGTGAATGTTACAGTGTCCCACAGACAAATACTTCATGATGTTTAGGATTAGTAAATGTATGTTGGCACCTGTTACAGTGAGTTTGAGTTGGAGTACCTGCTACTTGAGGGCCACTGCTTTGAGACTACCATGGGCAACCCACCCCGGGGTCTTCAGATCACACTTGGAACTGAGACTCAGCCAGTTGTTGTGGACACTATTGTCATGGCTAACCTGGGATACTTCCAGTTGAAGGCCAACCCAGGAGCTTGGATATTGCGTCTGAGGCAGGGTCGCTCAGCAGACATCTTTGATATTGTCAGGTTTGTGGACAGCCCATACCTTTGAAGGGGATTTGGTATTATACAGGGTACTTTGAAGTGTTATCTTGGTTTTACACATGTAACTGATTAATTCCTTATTGCAATATTCCTTCGATAGTAATTATTCATAAGTTGTTTAAAATATTCTCTGCTTAATAGACTCTAAAGCTCTTATCATTTTGAGCCATATTTCTCTGTGAGGTGACACTCTGTCGCCTCACACCAATGCCCGTTTTTAATTGTCCTGATCATCTTAATTTTGTTTTAACACATTTTGTACAGTTGCTGTTTGTAGGCTTCACATGTATATATAACTGTGGTGTCTTTTATCCAGCCATGACGGATCAGACACACCAGCCAATTCAACGGACATCAAGGTTCTGATCAGCTCGTTCCGCAGCCACGTGTTGAAGCTGAAGGTTGCCAAAAAGCCAGACAAGATGCACATGGATCTTCTGTCAGATGACAGTGATCCTAACTCGGGCATCTGGAACTCCATCACAAGGTATATCATATACAAAAATCTTCCTATGTCTTGCGTTGAAGCTCATATTCACTTTCTTTTAACTATCAGAGTATGCTGGTTTGCTTCAGTAGGCCTAAGAATAAAAATGTGGTGTTTGGATGAGATTTCCAGTTTGTTGGATTCTGTGTCTCATCTGTATTTGAATAAGAACGCGATCTTCCAAACAGTTCATTGTTTTCAGCCTTTTGATAGATACATATATAATGAAGTGTACATAAATCTGAATTCTGCTGAGGAATTTCTTGAAAGGAAGAAGTTTTGTGCTAAGGTAACAGTGTTGTGGCTGGGATTCCTGAATATATGGACCAATCAAGTTGATGTAGCAGAACTGCTGTAGACTTGTATTTGGCTGATGCTTGGTTTGAATGGCTTGTTTACACCAACTATCCTGGCTGAAGAGTGTCTTGGTTTTTCACAGTCTCTCCTCAATTAGACCATAAGCATGACCTTCCAGATCTTTTGCAGTTATTCGTCAGTTATCCTACCATTTGACACTGTATGGTATTAGAGCCTGAAAACTGCTTTAAAATAAACCTGAGAACCTGATTATATGGTGAATGTGGCTATTGATGCATGTAGAAACAGGTTTTAACGGCTGCTTTACACCAGAGCTACAGAGGCTGCTTTGCAAAAATTTATAACAACCCATAGCTTTGCAGAACAGTGTGCTCAATTACCCCATAGCATCTTAAACCACATATCAGTTCAGTAAGTAGTCAATTTGAACAATTAAGGTAGACAGTTTGAACATTAAGATAGAATGGACATATAAACATAAATTAATTAAATAAATTTGTACAAAAATAATACGATATGATGACTTTGTTTTTTATCCCATGGATAATGATTTTTGTGCCAACCTGTATACAAAAACATGCAAATTATAGTTATGAGATTTGCAGTTCTCATGGCAGTGGATGTTTTAAACTGCATACAGTTCTCTGGAGCATGGGGCTATAGCATCACATCACAGAAAGTGAGTTACACAGCTGAATTAGCAGCCTGCAGCAGCTGTACCTGGGTCTAAATAAAGGGGTATTCTAGCAGCATGACAATGTGACACTCTGTCAACTGGACAGTGGACCTTCCCTCAGCCTTTGTATTGTGTTACTTGGCCAATAAAGGTTAATATATTTTTCTATCATGTCCAGAATAGCTTTGGGGACCAACCAGCATCCCATCTGAGTTTTCTTGCCACAGTTTCATCATTGGAGCATGAAGCTGTTGCCTTGTCTCTGTCCAGTGTGAAGGTTAAGAACATATTTTTTGCCTCCACGCCAGTTAAATTCCTTCATGGCATGGTGCTTATGCATAGATGTAACTGTACAGTTTTTAATTTCAGTACCTTTGGTGCATCAAAAACAACAGAAGAAGAAGGAGATGAAAGAATTAACATCTTCTCCCTTGCATCAGGGCACTTGTATGAGCGTTTCCTTCGCATCATGATGCTGAGTGTACTCAAACACACAAGCACACCTGTCAAATTTTGGTTCCTCAAGAATTATTTGTCTCCAACACTGAAGGTGAGTTTGTGAGTCACAGAGAAGTTCAAAGTGTGCAGTACAAATGCAGGTTAGGTGTGACAGAATGGATATGGATTATGGTAAGAATTTTGTTATGGTGACAGAAATCATCAGCATTGTCAATTTCATAATGTTATGTGTATGGGATAACGTGGCATGAAACAGTGACCTTTCATGAAACTAATCATCATACTTAATCCATAAATAGCTCTAAAGACTGGTTCAGCAGTCCTCAAGTTGTTATGGGTGGATGGGCGGGCAGGCAGGCAGGCAGGCAGGCNATTTTATGTATCATATTTATCAATTGTTTACAATGAGAATTGTTATTTATACCTCACAATTGTCAGCAATAATAGTCTCATAGATACCCAGTGTATTTAATATCATTGTCGTCATCGTCATTGTCTTCCTCCCCATTCCTTAGACATATCTACAGTACTTTATGTGAGTCATCTAGTGACCAGACTTTTCCTTTAGTCTGTTTTCTCAAGGCTTCACCTGCTCAATTTCCTTCCTTCCTTCCTTCCTTCCTTCTGCCTTATTCCTTTTCTAACCTGTTGTTCCCATCTTGATCTTGTCTCCCTCCTGGGCCTCCTCTCGGGAGTCTGTTGAAAATGTAATCTGGTAGCTAACTACATCACTTTTTGCTTTTGTGGCCCAGAGGATAGCTATCCTGACTTTGTTTTTGTTGTAGCTTCCCCTGTGAGAAAGTGTCATTAAATGAAACCAGAAACAGATCAGAGTGAATGCTGGAATGTGGCTTTAAATTATTCAATGACCATTTCTCCTCATGACCGTTGCAGGCACTCACCGTTAGTTCAATATTAATGTCAGGTCAAGGAAAGAATGAACACAGATTCTCCTTCACCCATCTGTCTAGCAGCAGCCTCTCCTCTGTGTACCTTTGTTGCGCTCCTGACAGGTGGCAGTTGTGTTGCAGCTTTTGATCCCTCTCTAGGCTGTCTCTTTACATTCTCACTTTGGAATCAAGGTACCGGGGTTGTTATGAATTTCTCTTGACACATAATGTCATTTTATTGTTTTAGAGTAAAATAATCATGCATGTTTACTGTAAAATTTAAAATACCAGACAGTGACAGTAACAATAACAGTAACAGCGTTGAATAGTGATGAAATAAACAGCTGACGTTTCTTATGGCATGGAGTTGAGCCATGTTCATTGAACAGAGGAATGATGTACATTGTAGTGGGGCAGGGAAGGCAGGTAACTTGAATCCCTACCAACAGTGTTCATTCTTTCCCTGACTCGAGTGCCCATAATGTACAATAGCATTAATCTACAATACATTTATGTTCTTTTTCAGGACTTTTTGCCTCATATGGCGAAAGAATATGGCTTTGAATACGAATTAGTTCAGTACAAGTGGCCACGGTGGCTTCATCAACAAGCAGAAAAACAGAGAATCATATGGGGCTACAAGATTCTCTTCCTTGATGTCCTTTTCCCATTAGATGTCAGGAAGATAATATTCGTCGATGCTGATCAGGTTAGTTCCCAAGAGTCTGTCACAGCTCTATTATTTTCTTAGCCTTTCTAGCCTCTGTCAGCCTGGTGAAGTGGAGGAATCTGTTTCTGAGGTGGGAACATATCAGACGGATTTAGTTGGCAACAGTGATGGCTGGAACATGTGGCAGTAGTCTGCACACTTCAGTATGTAGATTTTGGCAGAAATGCAAGCTGGATGAGACTCTTTGAATGAAAGTCTGGAAGTCTTGTTGAGAAGCTGGAGATATATGACTAGTGATCACTTCTGTCATTTAGTATAGACATTCTGAAGGTACAGAAATTGATCCTTGTTGTGTACCGTGTGTTGCTTCATGTGTTTTCTGTGATGGTAGAGACAGAAACATACATAAGCAGGAAATATAAGTGTTTTGTTTCTGAACAATTAGAAATGAAAGAAACTGAATTTAAGTCACATAATATTAAAGAAGGTAGAAAATATATTTGTAATATAAGAAACCTGTCACATCTTTTTCATTTGTAATCAGCCCAAAGAACCTTAAGACTCACATCAAAAAAGTGTATTGGGCATACATTTTTTCTTCATTCTTCACTGCAGACTTTTGTTAATTTTTTTTTTTGCCCTGATAAGGTTTTTATGAATTATGCTTGAGGTGCACAAAGAAATGCTTGTTGGATTTCACATGAAATGCATATTTTTGCATGATTTAAACGAATATGGGGGATGTGCTAATATCAAATTTTATAAAAATCTTCAGTGGTTCTCCTGTTTTGCATGCAGAAAGACATACATGGTGGAACTGATAGGTGCATTTTGCAACTTTTTATTGTGAACATGCAAAAAATTCAAAGACTGTGTAATCACACTTTTTGCATATGTACTCTCTTCATAGGCTGGCAAAGAACATGTGAAGTATAGTTGCATTCCTGAAAATATAAAGATGCGTAAGATAAGAAATGCGTTGAATGAACATTGAGCATGGTGAGAAGTAGTAGGAAACAACATGAATGAGCCAGAATGTCTGGGTGAGTCAAGGAAACTGCACCCACCTCTCTGGACTTGTGCTGCAGATGAAACTGTGGATATGTGAAAACACAGATAATGAAAGCGTGTATGAAGAGAGTTGCCCATAGCACAGTTCTGGGGAAAGTTTGTGTAATGCATGGCAGTGAAGTGGGTAAGGTATGGTGATGTCTAGATGTACTTCTCAAATATTCGTTATTATAAAGCTTGAATTGTTTCTAGGTTGTGCGAGCAGATATGACAGAACTGCGGGACCTTGATCTCAGTGGTGCTCCATACGGTTATACACCATTCTGCGATAGTCGCACTGAGATGGATGGGTTCCGGTTCTGGAAGCAGGGTTACTGGCGCAATCATCTCCAGGGCAGACGATACCATATCAGTGCTCTGTATGTAGTGGACTTACGTCGCTTCAGAAGGATAGCTGCCGGAGATCGGCTGCGGGGGCAGTACCAGGCTCTTAGTCAGGACCCTAACTCCCTTTCCAACTTGGACCAGGTATGACATCTCAGCAGTATTGCAGTTTGTATGTTTATTTTAACTGAGGATGGTAGAGAAGGGGGAAGTACCTGGTATGAACCTTTGCTAGGAGCCAGCTATTCTAACTGGAATGTTTCATGATTTTCCTTCTGTTTGGAAGAATATGGGAATAACATCTTAACCTTTAAATGATGGTAGGGTGAGCTGGATGGAGTTTATTTAAATGCCCGCTGCTCTTGGGTTTTTAAATACTCGTTGCTGTTTGACATTTTAAATAATTTTAAGAACTTTATTAAAATGCTGTATGTAAAAAATTGTTATGATAAAGGAATGGGATTAACCTTGTTTTTATCAGCAAAGATGATTGTAATGTAAGAGTTGAAAATGTTTAGACAAAAAAGTTACTCTGTTGTTTAATGCAAATTGTATAAAAATGTTTCTCTCTTCTTCATGAAGAGGTTCTGCATTATAAAATTATTACTTCCATGTATATCTTTCACAGTGTGTTCCAGAATTGGCTATTTATGTGGGGATTTTAATGATTTCATCAATATTAATGATGAATGTGAATATGGGATGTGAGATTTGAAATTCTTAGAGTGGTGAGAAGCAGCTAGTAAGGATTCTCTCTTCTTGCCGCCTGCTCTTTCCTTGTTTGCTTGGTTAGTTTACTCGTTGACTCTGAAGATGGATGCAGTATGTTCCTCCAAAATATCCTTAGATTTATACCAGACTATACAGCATCACATCCAAGAAGACAGTGCTCTTCACAATGGTACCTTAGCAATTTCTTTTCCATGTTTTGAATTCATTATGCATGACAATCCTTGTGTTTGTCATCACCACTGTAAGACTTCAAGCAGGAGGATGGGATGTAAAACTACAGACAAAAAATGAAAAGATGCCATTCTGGCAAGATAATAAAACTGGATATATAATTATTGGCATGGAGCAGAGTTCTTCTTGAGAAGCCCATATTCACTTAACTGGTCAAGAAATTTCCCAATTTTTATGGAATCCTAAGGTTCATTATCATGTACACAGAAGCCTGCTACATCATCTACATAGACCAGAAAGTGATGTACCTCTTCAATTCCTGCCCTTTCTGGTTTTCTTGAACCTTTATATGGTTATATTATAAAGCAGTGGTAAAAATTCATCTCTTTGTTTCAGACTTGTGGATGGTAAAATTGACAGATGTATACATATGTGGGCTTTATGATGGGTTTCATCTAAACTTCTTTTAGTTAGCCTAAGTAATTTGATTCAGTTAAAATGCTGTCTTAGATTGAATGCACACTGTGGGATCATAGTTGCTTTGATGCTCAACTAAGGTTCTTTCAGTCTTTATTTCAGACGTCAGTAATTATTATTTAATAAATTAATTTTATATTATTTGTTATGTAATTGTACTTATTTCTGAGAAACGATTTAATTAGCCACTTATGAAAGAAATTATTTTATGTTTCATTTGAGGTTCTTGCATTGATAACTGTGAACAGTAGCATCGTCTGGAAGGTAATGCCTTCTAGTCAGGAAGGAGTCCACTGATGTTTCAGAGGAACATACTTTGTGCATCTTAAGGGTCGAAGAGTAAGCCAAGCAGGAAACCAGGAAGAAGTAGTCAGCAAGCAGGTCTGAAGATGGCAGAGAGTATGTTCCTCTGAAACATGGACTTCTATCATACTACATAGTTTCCATCACAGAAGATAGCACTCTTCAAATTAATTTACTGGTATATGCATTAAGTCTTACGAGAAGTTGAACAGTTTCTTGATGTATTTCTGTGTAACCTGATTATTGAAAACCTAAATTTAATGTAAGAATCCATTCCTCAAGAAGTTCATGAAATTGGCATTTGACTATAATTTTCATAGCAGTGTTCAGTTCATGCATATTTACATATGAGAAATGCATATAGAATTTGAACATTAATGGTCATGAATGTTCATGCTGTTGCAGGATCTACCAAACAACATGATCCACCAAGTGGCAATAAAATCATTGCCTCAAGAGTGGTTGTGGTGTGAAACATGGTGTGATGATGCCTCCAAGCAGTATGCTAAGACCATCGACTTGGTAAGTTGTTGTGCATCTTTACACTGGATGTTATCCATTATTTGAGGTATATTTAATAATCACCATATTATGGGAATTGGCTTTGGCCTTTAAGAGATTGTCATGATACTGGGATTCTTTCCCTAGGTTAAAGTGGCCGAGCTTAAGCCTGTCTCTTATCTTCTTTTGGTGCTGAGGTTAAGAATGTGTGATGCCATTTTATCAGTCCCCGATACATGTTTATTTTATGGTGCTTGATTAAGAATTGGAACAGCATTACTCTTTACCTTAGACAGTGAATGAAGTCTAAGAGAATTCAGAGTAGTGTGGCATATTGCTGGGAAATGATCACAAGATAAACAGTTATACAATAGCCATTGCTAGGCAGTGTTGAGTAGCATCCCAACAGACGTGAATGCTACAATAGAAGAACTGTTGGGAGAGGTGTTTTCTATGGCGTCTGTGCCCATTAGCTTCACCATATGTCTCTGTAACAGCGTGAGAATCACTGAATGGATTTCCATAAAGTTTGTTGCTGGGTAGTTGTACTGAAATTTGCCCACAAGTTCCACAATTTTAGTTAAAATCAGACAACAGCAATGGAAACTTTGCTTTCATATCTTGCAGTTACTTGCGTGGCACTCAAAATATATTGGAACAGAATATATACTGAGCAGAATTTTGAGAAAATGGAACACATTTTATGCCAAATGTACTTTTTCATCTTGCTTTCCTGAGATAAGTGAAGAAACAGAATTTTGATGCTCTGTCATCTCATAACTAAGAACAGTTGGACTGATATGCAAAAATTGTTATGCTTTTTATAAATTTCCTAACTTTAATGTGTGTCTGTGGTGTTTACTTTCTGCATACTAGCAGGTCAGGATCAAAGACTTTAATGCAGATATGTACATTTCTGGTTATGCTACATGTATTTTTCCTCTGGTTTCTGTCACGTGACCAACATATTGCAGGATATATGCGCCATTTTCAGGCCATTAAATGCTTGAATATGTGACATTAACTTTTATATTATGGGGGAATATACACTGAAACCACTGCTAAAAGATAGGATGAAAATATCCCACAAAGCAAATAAATGAACAACAGTGATGTGCCAAGGGTACTAAGGACAAAGTGTGCAGCACAGTGGTCTCCCCAAATACAAGCAATAAGTGTTGCGTAATGATGGTCCATGTGCAGCCAAAGCATGTAGCAACGACAACGAATGTACTTAGTTAATGACATTTTATAATATTTTACAAACACTTTTAGTGAATTAAATATATTTTATTGTCTTTTAAGGAAAGATTGACTTTGTTGCATTACAGACAGGATACTTCACAATTTAGAATGGTGCCCAAATATTACTTACTTACTTACTTACTTACTTACTCATAGAGCTGAGCTCTTCTGGAGGAGCTGTCAATTCTGCAGCTACTCAAGAATTTCCCAACATTTTATGGAACCCGAAGGTTCATTACTGTGTTCACAAGAGCCCTCCATTGGTCCCTATCCTGAGCCAGATCTATCCAATCCATACCATCCCATCCTGTCTCTCTGAGATCCATTCTAATATTGTCCACCCACCTATGCCTTGGTCTTCCGTGTGATCTCTTTCCTTCTGGCTTTCCCACCAATATCCTATACACATTCCTTGTCTCCCCCATTCATGCTACATGACCTGCCCACCTCATCCTCCTTGACTTGATCATTCTGATTATACTTGATGAAGAGTGTAAGTTATGAAGTTCCTCATTATGTAGTTTTCTCCAACTTCCTGTCACTTCATATCTCTTCGGTCCAAATATTGTCCTCAACACCCCGTTCTCAAACACCCTCAGTCTGTGTTCCTCCCTTAATGTCAGAGACCAAGTTTCACGCCCATACAGAACAACAGGCAAAATTATAGTTTTGTATATTCTAATTGCCCCAATATAACAGGATGCTGAAATATAATCAAGTATTGTTATGATGGAAATAGTTTAATGTGGTAATATACCCATTATTTAAAGTTGTGGTGATTAATCTGTCAGAACTGAAGGAGTGTGAAGAGAATTTTTATGCTGGTAATTTTGCAATTGCTTTTTGTTTTCAGTGCAATAACCCACTTACAAAGGAAGCAAAATTAACAGCTGCAATGAGAATAATTTCTGAATGGAAAGATTATGACTTAGAAATAAAGAAACTACAAAACAAAATAAATATGAACCAGACTGATGAGGAAAGAGAATTTATGTCAGGAGAAAGTACTACGTGGAAAGCAGGTGAGTAAAATTGTATCTTATATCATTTTTGGTCTTTTTGTCATTATTCTAATGAGGGTGAGTGTAATGTTTTCCTCCAAATCTTGCAGCATCTTTTAGGAATATGCTAGTGCATGCTTATAGGCAATGGAAATGTTGTGTTTACCTGAGTACAGTACGGTTTAAAGATACCTCACGAAATGAGAAGCGTGAACATGAAGAAAGAAAAATATTGGAAAACATTAGGAATCTTGTGCATTTCCCATGGTGAAATACTTTTTTGCAGGTGATAGTTAATGTTCTGTCATTTAGTACTGTTGCCCTAAAAAAGTTGTTTTTTCCTGCATATCTTCTTTCCTCCTCTTCTGCTTCTGCTTCTTTCTTCTTTTTGTTTTGTCATTCCCACTTATATTAGTCACCTAGCAAGCAAGCTTTGCTATCTGTACATATCTTCCCGAAGCTCATCATTCTATTCGTTTTTCTCCCATGCCCTTCTATGAAACTTTTTCCTAACCTGTTCCCATCTTTATCTTGTTCTTCCTTATCTTCTTTATAATTTTTCATTTTTTATTTTCTCTTCTCCAATATTTCCTCTTACACTTCATAAAAACCTCATCTCAGCTGCTGTTAGTTTACTGATATCTGGTCCATGTGCATGGCATGTATTACTGGTTGTTACTTATTCACTTGTTAAGGACTGATGTAGATAACTCAGCTGCCCAGAATAAGTACTACAGTACTGTATGCCTCTACAGGAATGGCTTTCCCACCATTGACCAGTGTAGTGAAAGCAGACATTTACAAAATTAATGTCATGTTTATTGCCTTTTCCCATAAATACCATAGTGCAATTGGGAGCCAGGATAGTGTAGTTGGTATAGCGACTGGCTACGGGCTACGTCTGAGGGGTCAGAGTTTGAGTCCTGGTAGGGTCAAGAATTTTCTCGTCTCCATGTAGTCCAGACCGACTCTGGGGTCCCCCCAATCTCTTATCCAATTGGCACCATGGGATTTTTCCCTGTCGGTATAGTGGCTGGGGCGTGAAGCTGACCACTCACCACCGACTAGTGCCGAGGTCAAGAAAATGTGGATCTATACATCTGCTCTCCATACGCCTTCATGGCGTCATGCTTAATTAGTTAAGCACAGGGACAACTATACCTTTACCATAGTGTACTCTCTGACCTTAAGCTAAGAACAGATACAGCCTCTTCTGAAACTCATGCCATGAATGCTTGATGACTACTTGCTTTGCAGATATTTACGTAAGAATGAAATCTGTCTTACATTCATGTAGGTATGGTAATAGGACGAAAAGCTCTAATTTCTCTGATATCTGATTTATCTTGGATTTGTAGTAGTTAATAAGTACCTAAGAAGTTAATGATGTCAAATTCTGTCCTAAAATGTAATTCATTCAGCAGCTTCAACTGCAACATATGCCAACTGCCAACTGCACAAACAAAATGTGTCTGTCTGTTCATCTGCATTTGTAATGACTGTGACTTTTCTTCTTTCCAGATGATCATGAGCAACATTCTGAATTATGATACAACATGGCTGTGATTAGTGTTACTTTTTATTTGAAAATAATATTAAAAGGATATGTATGAAGTGTGATTGCTGTGAGCTAATGTACTGTCATCACTGAGATTATTTACCATCAGTGGCACCCTTCATTAATATAAAATTAAAGTGATGGTTGTTCTTATTAAGATAAAGATATTCCTTTTTATGTCATTCCTGACCATTTCTTTTAATGTTTTCTGAGGTTCCCTTCATTCTCTGATCACTTTCTCTGTGCATATTAGTTTGTTTCTATTTGGTGAGATAAGTAGCAACAGCAGCTGAGAAATGCAACTCTAAAATTAAGTTAACATGGATTGTGTGAAGAGTACGGGCTTCTGGGTTGTAACACCATGTACTTCAGAGAGTGTCACATTTCAGAGGAAGGTATCACCTCCATCATCAAGGTCGAAGAGTAAACTGAACAAGAAACCATGTTCAACACAGTGAGAATCTCGATTTCGACACGGATTATGTGATCTGCATGTCATCCGTTCATTCCTCTATCATATTTTAGTGCATATGGCTGTTGCTATGAATAACTGTGAGATGGGTGAATAAACAACAGCTGTTTCTAGGCATAGGATCAGTAAACACATTCCCAAGCCAATGAATATGCACACAACAATAAAGTTAGTGTTGGAAACAGTGTTTTCTACTCGTTCCATGCAAAGGGGTAATAAAGAAGACAACTGGAGTGACCAAGTTAATTGAATTAGTTGAGAATTGAGTTCTGCAAGGGAGGCTGAGAAGAGATGGTGCTATAGTTTGGTTCGGTTATGGGATATTTGCTTGACGGTGGCAACGTGGGCACAGAGGCTGAGGAATCTCCATCGTTGAGAGCTATCACCAGGCAACGACTGGTGAAGACACTGCAGGCTGGGAAGACTTAGTGTGTAGTTATTATTAAAGCATGGAGATCAGTGATAGTGTTGTAGTTATTTGTGCTTGCAACCTGTAAGTGGTCAGTGCATCTATTTGCCAATGCTTACTCCATCTATAGTCACCCCTAAAACATGACAGTATTTTATTTCATCTATATGTCACACATCTTTACAAATTGAGACATTTGTGAACTAGGCTTTCTTCATTTCTCTTACTGAACAACCAGTGCAGGGGTTGGAAGGGTGAATGAGAGCTGGTCTGATGGTAACATTGGAAATTTTTTAAGAGTGTACCTGTAGTAGAACTGAAGGGTACCATATTCTGGGATGTGACACATTGCATTCCAGTATATGTCCACTGATGTTCTGAAACATCACTGGAATTCTGTAGGGCTGCACAGCATTACATTCTACAGGACAGTACTTTTCCTAGTCACCACTGTGAGAATCTCGAATAAGTCTGGGTAGCAGTGTTTCTAGATGTCTTTGTGGTGGCATGTGCTAGCAGGATGGGTGTCATCAGGGTGTGAGGGTGGATTGATCGGCTGTGTTCACCAGACATAAGCTAGTAAAGGAACTTCATGATAAAAGAAAACGTGAAATCTCGTGAAATTTACAGCACTGATGGGCCTGGATTATATTGGAAATGCCTTCCTGCAAGAACCCTTGCATTGGTAAACAGAGTATGCTCTGTCATATGTATAATAAATGCCTTGCAGTTATGTGTTTTGCAGATGCATTTGAAAATCACAAGATCAAACTTGTAGCTTACAGTTTGAGGTTCTCACGGCAGTGGTTATGAATTATTCTGTTATCTGGGATATAACACCATGTAGTCTGTTGAAAGTCAGCGGACGTTTCTGCGGAACGTGTCACTTCCATCTTCAGGGCCGAAGCCAGGCTCAGCTTGCTGCCTGCTACATGCTGATTACTTGCTAGGCTTACTCTTCAGCTGTGAAGATGGAGGTGACATGTTCTTCTGAAGTGTCGATTGACTTTCAGTGGACTACTACATGACATTATGTCACAGATGATACAACTGTTCTTGAAAAGTAAAGTCCTTAGTAAAGCCAAAAGGAGAACTGATACATAAAAGCATTTTTCGAAAATTAGTTCCATAAATGGTTTGTTCTTGAATTCAGTATATCCTGAGAGACTGTTTATTGGCCTGGAAAATAGTGTTGCTTCTACTTGATGCACACTCATCTTAGTGTACTTTGAATATTTGTGTTGAACTTCTCATTAGTGAATCTACCTGCTCCAGAAATGCTTTTCCCTGTTGTGCCTGATTTATGCATAATGTATATTCATTATTTGTTTTGCACTAAAATTAGTAAATAAGTTACAATTATTGATACACGGGACGAGTTTGACGGCACTGTTTACTACGCAAATAATGTTCAATAGTGTTTGAAGTTCTGAAGGCTGTGTTGAATTTTTATACAAATTACGTGGGTGTATAGGGCTACCATAAATGATTCATTCGTTTTTAAAACTCTGTATTTTCCAAAGTATTACACGTACAAATATGATTGATATATAAAAAGAACCGTAAACTCACCAAGTTTGTATTTTGTGCACCAGTTGGCAGCACGAGTTCAGTGCCTTTACAAAATGGCGATAAAGCAAGAAAAGAGTTTTTGTTTGTTGGAATATGCGAGATGTTCGTGTGTTATAGCAGTGCAACGTGCATTCAAAAGAGAATACGGAAAAGAACCGCCATGTAAACAAAGCATTTTGAGGTGGTATCGGCAATGTTCGTCGCTACCTAAGCAATGAACTTCGGCATCGCTGGATTGGGCGTGTTGGTGAGGATGAAGTAGCTCTGTTCACTTGGCCCCCCAGATCACCTGATATAACGCCCTGTGACTTCTTCCTTTGGGGGTACATTAAGGATCGTGTTTACGTACCCCCACTGGCAAGAACACTAGTAGAGCTGAGGAAACGCATTGATGCTGCAGTGATGACCATTGACAGGATGAAGCTAAAAAATGTGTGGAACGAGCTCGACTACCGCCTGGACGTGTGTCGTGTGACCCAAGGGGCACACATAGAGCATTTGTAGAGTGTGAAGAAAACTTGGTGAGTTTACGGTTCTTTTTATATATCATATTTGTACGTGTAATGCTTTGGAAAATATAGTGTTTTAAAAACGAATGAATCACATATAGTAACCCTGTATTATAATTTTCAATCAATGTATGAGTTGCCCGTTTTATTAGCTTCTTTATTGCTTAATATACTCCGTCCGATATTAAATCCGTTCGATTTTACTCTGGACATACTGAGGATATTCAAGAATGACTCTTGTAATCTTCAAAAATGCAACATTTATTAGGAAAGTAAACAAAACTTATATACGAATGGCACTTAAGTCACAAACGCAGAACGCGATCTTTGAGGTACAGTAGAGCGGTAGGTAGCAGCACCTTCGCTTCCTCGCGCGATATTACTACTATTACTAGCGCCCGATAAAATCTGCCCTCTGCTCGGTGTACAAGCCAGCCAGCGCATGAGAGTATGCAGTAGAGCAGCCGTGTCAAACTTGCGGCCCCTTGACTTTTAGAGCTAATTGATATTAAAATCAATATTAACATTTTAGTAGAAATATTTTTTTGTAAAAACAATTTTCCAACAGACCAGAAGACAAGTCTCACGCAGACATAAATTAGCAGGCTGCAGGAAATTCAGTGTTTTGCTATTTCTAACATAATTTCTTGTGTAATCTCTCTTTTTACATATTGAAAAGCTGTTTGATACTTATCAAAAATGGCATTCTCTTGCTTTTTAAAACTGTAAGATATGTGACTTTACGTAATTATATTGAAATTATTCCTAAATAATAAATAGAATTAAATCCTTGTATCAAAATCTAAATATTTCTATTTTGAAGTGCGGCCCTCGACTATTATTTATAGTGCTGAGGTGGCCCTCTGTACAAGTTGAGTTTGACATGCCTGCAGCAGAGGCTACGCAGGGAGAAGGCTAGAATGGAGTACTAGTAGTAAGGTAATGATTACGAATGATCTGAATCTCTTTTATGCAGTTAAACACAAGCCCTTAATATAATTACACAATTTTACATTTGTATAACCAATCCTGTATATACTAGTGGCCTATGGACTTCCCATTGTATTAGAGCAAAACTGGGTTTCACTGGGAAAATTCGGACAGTAAAATGGAGAATGAACGGGATAATATGTATTAAATAGAACGTATGAAAACATATAATGCTTCATTTTCATAAATTTGAAGTTACCACAATACGGTACCCAACGTGTTGACATAGCGGCAACGCTCTAGATAAGTATATGAGAGGTGCTCGGTTTGAATCTCGCCCATGACATCGGTCATTCTGAGTTTCTTCGTGGTTTTTCCCAATCTTTCCTGGCAAATCTCCAGACTGAGCCATAATCACTTTATTCTAAATCTTTTTTAATTCAACAGTCACCCCCTCGCCCCCGGTCGATGTTATACAGTCCTGATACTGAGAGCGTAGTAAAATAATTGTGAAAACCACAATGTGACAGATACTCATAATCTATGTACTCGAAGGCAAAAGATAAAAAGTTTTTAAGCTATAGCTATGTCGTACTCGATCCATAAGCTCATTAATTGTATTCGGAATAAGGTAGAATTGCCTGATCAGTGGAAAGAGTCTCTTATTGAATAATTCACAAAGCCGATAAAAATGGCTCTAGCAATTATCGTGGGATATCATTGCTAACAACGTCACATAAAATTTTATCTAGTATTCTCTCGAGGTTAAGTCCATATATATATATNATCCTTCCAGCCGCACTATGGTCCTGGGGTCGACTGAGCCTCTAACACAAATGAGTACAAGGAATGAATTAAATAATATTCCTGGGGAGTAAAAGCGCGGCCGGCGCGTAAGGCTGACAACCTTACCGCCATCTTTGAGCCGATTATCTAGATAGTGTGGGACCCTCAACGTCTCACAACCCTATGGGCCTTCACGGCCTGTTACAGGGTTAGTTTTACTTACTTTACATCGGCTATTCAGACTTCAAGAAAGCCTATGATTCAGTTAGGAGGGAAGCTTGTACAATATACTCAGGGTTTGGGCTACCCATGAAGCTAGTCAGGCTGATTAAAATGTGTTGAAAAGAAACGCATAGTAAAGTCCATATAGGTAAACATTTTGGATACGGTATGATTTCGCAGATGAATTATATTCAATTAAATTTGTTGTTTAGAATTTGTCATCACAACTGTTCCTGACATGAAAGTCATTCTATACCAATGACATGGACTTTACAAGATCGGAGAAATTCGGAAACGTCTTTAAGTATCATTGCATTTCTACATACAATATTCCTGTTCTTTTACATTGTAGGACGTAAAACAGCGGAAATGGTTCACCATTTGTCACAGAGGTCTTAGAATGATACGAACACACACTGTACCATTAGTGTGATATTCTATTAAAATATGTGTAAGTAAATGTAGCAATACAGTTGAACTAAAATATATTGTCATGTGTAGGTCTGCTTGCAGCATTGAATTATGGTCCGTTAAGATTGATATAAAACATAATCATCTCATCATCTGATGGAAGCGAATGGTTTGGTTAATGTGCAGTTAGGTCCGCGCCATAGCTGAAGCGGTTAGTCGCTGGCTTCACACCGCGGCGGCCCGGCTTCGATCCCGAGGTCTGGTCAAGTGGGATTTATGGTGGACAAAGTGGCGCTGGGGCGGGTTTTCTCCGAGTACTTCGGTTTCCCCTGCCAATCTTCATTCCAGCAAATTCTCCATCATCATAATCACCCGATGCAGGCTACAATAGGGCAATTAGTGGCCGCCGTGCCGAGTGGACCCAGTTGGGCTCCACCCCCCACTAAGCGAATTAAAAAAAATATGTGCAGTTTGTTTAAGTACTTGTTAATTAACTATGTGTCAGTTTTATTATCTATAATATGAAGTCGCCATTTTAAGTTGTCATATCTGATATTCTTTCGTGGGTAAGTAATATTCAGGGATACATAAAACTCCCAAAAACAGATGTCACTTTCATCAGACATATGAGGTTTTATCATGGCCGAAAATTAAGACACTTGCCATTTCAGCGTACTAATTTGAATGACTTCTCATGTCCTCGAAATTTTCATAATTTACACAGAAAAAAAAAGTACTATTATAGTAAGAAAAAATAATCTAAATATTGTATTAAACTCAATAAGGATTATTCTGAAGCATTAAAATCAAGAAATACTTGGGAAAACATTTTTAAATTTCATTGTTCAATTAATTGAAATACTTTGTCCTGTTTTAATCTAATGCGAATTGCCGCTCACATATTGGAAGAGCATGAGGTTCCCAATCTGTATGTACGACGAAACATGCTGCAGTTCTTATTAACTTAAACGAGATTTGCGAGGAATCTTAGAAACTTTCAAATGAAATAAACTTAAGGACAGGATCAGAGAATGAAATGCAGCATTCTTCCTCTCGGATGAAGCGTTTGAGCCAACGATTTTCAACTGTTTGTCAGTTACACTCTTGAGTGTCCACCCATCGGCGACAAATCTTGCACTGGACATAACAGCACCAGTGGTACTTGCACTGGCATCGTTCCACCTTCTCGACGCTGATGGTGCTGTAGCCCCTACCGCAGCACATGTCCTCACAGCTGTCGTATCCATGGGAACTGGTATTGCACGACCTGTGGAATAGGTGAAGACAGTTTATAAGATTCTTGCTGCAGTCGATTCATGAGTGAGTGAGTGATCCAGGGTAGTCACTCCCCCAGTACAGACGGAGTGACCAGCAGTAGTCACGACTCCTCCTCCCGTCAAAGAGGAGGCACCATTTGAAAAAATGTTCAAGGTCTGGAAAGAACAAAAATATGGTCATTAATCATTACGGGACCTGAAACCAGGATTGACTGAGCTTGCGAGGGCCAACAGCAATATACCTGACCTACCGACTTGTATCGTAATAATTGACAGGGTGATACTTTCTAACATTTGTTACTGCGTGAGATATTGTTACTGAAGTGCGATGGCAGAGCTCGAGTTGCACGTGGTAATAATTCAGCTGGTAGATGGTTAATGACACGTGCTTGTTTAGAAGATCTTGAAAAGTTTATTTTATATTGTTGTTTAAAGGTTATTTGTTATGATTGGATTATAAGTACAGGAAGCGGAACCTCTGGTAGATCCATAACAATTGCAGCATATGCATTCTTAGACTCCAGTATGGGTAAAAGGTAAAGTTGTCCCTACACTACGCCATGAAGACGTATGAAGGAATGGATGCATAGATTCACGTATTATTGACGTTGGCACTAGTTGGAGGTAAGTGGTCAGCTTCACGCCTCGGCCGCTTTACCACGGGGGAAAGAACCCCGCGGTATCCCTTGGATAAGCTTGGTTGGCTGTACCTACTGAACTATGCTTTTGTGAATACGATACCAAAACTCCTTGTTTCAGAAAAGGATTGTAATCCATTGACTAGCTAACCCACTGTTAGCTTCTCAAGAATGACTGTCCCCAGTGAAGTTAATAGCAATTATGATTAATTATGTTTAAGTTCATAGAATAACTTAGGATTCTGGCGTTCTTACTTCGACACCAGACATTAAAATTTAATGAATTTTCTCGATTTTGAGATAGACTTTTTAAACGTTTCGACATGTCTGAAATGGGGACGTGTCTTACATTTGCTTGCGTTTAAGAATTTATGTCTAATTATACTGTCACATATGGGAGGGGTTGTGCGTGACTTATAAGACGAGTTCTGGATTGAATAATTGATTTTATTGACACCTTATTCACACAACTCGGGACTACGAGTAATACAGAGCTATCGCTATTTCCACACTTTACAGTTCACCGTTACACACACACGTACACTAGGGTCCTCAGTCTTCACTAACCATATGCTGGCAACTGATTTCATAGCATGAGGTCCTCTTTTCACGCCTAATTTCTTTCTTGCCATTAATCTGCAGCTGAAAATTCGACTGAAGACTCGACTCACGTCTGCTCCCAAGCTCATATTCTTCCAGGCTGGCGTCTCGAAACTCGACTCGACTCTATTCGATTCGACAACTGCCAACTCCTGAACTCTTCTTTATAACCACTTTGCACGGACCACGCAAAAAACAATCTCTCTGTTTTTAGGAAGCCGTATTTAGAGCGCGTTACTCGATTGTTGCGTGCGTATTCGTTGCCGCGGGAATGTGTTTACCGAGTCGTTGCTTAAAATCGAATGTCTATTCTGACTTCGCTGTTCCGGATTTCGGGCGTCATGACACAATATATGACAAAAGCGTAAGGAAAATCTCCACGTCCGTAGCGCCAGTCATGGGACACAGAACACGAAGATAGAAGCAGAGATCATTCCGAAATCATTTCTATTTCCCCTACCCCTCCCACACTACTGCTTTCACTTGTATACTTGCCCTTCCCCCTTCACCCTCACTGCTCTCACATAGCTGTGTATATTCCCAAACAGTCTGCTTTTACCGGTTCTCACGGTCTCTTCGCTTGCAGAATTCTTATATTTTCTTCTACCCTGAAGATGGAGGCGATACGTTCCTCCGAAACGTCGGTTAACACCACTTATACACGGTGCCAAATCCCAGAAGACTGCTTTGTTCATAGTCACCGCCGTGAAAGCCTCAAATCTTACATTTCTATTTCCGTTGTTAAAAATGTCGTTACGTGTGACATTAAATCAAGAACCTGATGGGGGCTTGGGTCCTCAAAATACAAAGCGTTTTAATATTAACTAATTTTCTGTCGTGAAGAGAGATCGATCAGCTTTCATTATTGCGTCTTAAAATGAAGGGTGCCTTTTACAAACGACGGCATCTTGAAATCGAGGAAATACAGTAACAATATTACAATTTATAGGTCTAATTTGCATCCATTACCATAATTTTTCAGATATAACCTCAAGGTTTCCCACCGCTGCCATTTGGACATAATAAAATTAAAAGTACAGTATTCAGGCCTGTAACGCTATGTACGAGTAGTTAGGAGAAAGTGGGAACTTTCGGAGGAATATAGCTTCTCCATCTTCAGGGACGAAGCTGATATTGTTGTCCTATTGCTGCCGGATTCCTGCTTGTCTTATTCTTCGATCCTCAAGATAGAGGTGATATTTTCTTCGAAACGTCGGGCTCTTTCTAAACTACACGGTGCTACAACATAGAAGACAACTTCTTCATAGTCACCGTCTTAAGGACATCAAATTCAACACAAAATTTTCCATATGCTATTTATAGACATGTTTTTGATCTCCATAGCAAATTCTCACATGCCCGCAGTGTCAGAGGGAGAGGAACATGCAGATTTCGAGATGAAATTCAAAATCTGTGAACTTCTCGAAGCTACGTGTATATTACAACACAAAATCCCGGGTCCTTACACTGGACAGTGTCACTACCACTCCCACCTCACAAGTTCGCTCAGCTAGAATGTTGTTACTGATGTTGGGCGAAATTGGAAAGCACAAAGGTGAGGATGGCCCTCTGATGGCAATATAATATGACGGAATAATACATTTCTATGGAACGGCTCGGTAAACACGGCCTAAAATCCGGAATAGCAGCAGAAACAGAAGTTAATTTTCTATACAGCGGAACGCGAACTCCTGTTTCTGCGACAACGAATATTAACAGAGATTCGTCAGACAGACGTCGTTCAGAAGGACTTCAATGTGTGAGCTGTTATAATTGATTGTAATTGTAAAGAGGTGCCAAAAAGCGGCCTCCGTACTCTAGGGGCAACGTTCCCACCTCATGACTCAAGGTACGCGGGTTCAAAACCCGGCGGAGGTCGTGGAATTTTTAAGGGCGGAAAAATTCAGGGAACAAGTCCTCCGGGAGGGATTTTAAGCCGTGGGTCCCGTGTCGTAGATTTACGGCACGTAAAAGATCCTCATGTCTCTAGGAGACCTCTGAGCAAAATTAGACAAAGTTTCCCGCCCAAGTAGTTTCCAATGCCTCCGGTAGATGGGGAAGTATCGGGTACCACTGCCAGTAGAGGGGCCGAACTCGCTGGCTGAATGGGGCTGATAGCGAGCACCAGTACCGGAAGGGTATGGCGACTGGTAGAATATCAAAGGGGGACGTACAATAGATCAACAACTGGTCGCGGTGCATGGGGAAACCCACCCCCTCCAATAATGAATGAATGAATGAATGAATGAAAAAGGGTGCCAATAAACCCACTCATCAAATTCAGAACCCATTATTATTAGTCACGCCAACCTTGTATACCTGACAATACTAATACCAATTTTAATGAACATCTTTCATACGATGAAAGAATAAATGACAGTTTTCTGCTTGCTTGCCACATCTTCTCCCTTGAGGATAGAGGCGGCATGTTCCTCCGAAACGTCGATGGCCTTCTACTGGGCTACATAGCGTCACATCTCAGACAGTAGTATAGTGTTTGAGAACAGGGTGCCGAGGGGAATATTTGGGGCTAAGATGGAGAACTTAATAGGAAGTTCGAGAAAATTGCATAATGAGGAGCTTCATAATTGTACTTTTCAGTCTTTGACTCTTACGGGCGCGGTGGTACATTTTCGGTGTTCCACAGAAGGCGGAGAATTTTCTATCTGAGCTACTAATAGGTTCTCAAGAAGTCTGCGCCATGAAGTAACTTATACCCCCTTACTTACAGGCAGGCGTCTTACGAATTTCCCTCCGCATACTGGTGTGTTAGCGAACTGCTGTCGTCTGATTTATAACGCTGGATTTCTACTGCGCATGGCAGAAATTCCGTCCGACGCACCTTCCTTGTTGGTGGCTTTTTGCGTCATTGTCGGATAGCTGTGTACAAGAGTGGCACATGGGGTATTTTAATTTTTAATTTTGTTTGACTTCGATTAACCAAGAATGATACGAAAGGGAAATGAAAGTATGTAAGGCTGTGAAATGGAAAAAGTGTATAGGAAGTTAGAGGTAGATAGCAAAAATGTTAATTCCATACTTTAGATATTACTTAGGGCCGTGTCATAGCTCAAGCGGTTAGTCGCGGGCTTTCCACCGCGTCTGGTCAAGTGGGATTTATGGTGGACAAAGTGGCGCTGGGGCACGTTTTCTCCGAGTACTTCGGTTTCCCCTGCCAATCTTCATTCCACCAATTGCTCCACAATCACCCTCACCTATCATCTGGGGCTGGTACAATAAGCCAGAAGTGGCCGCAGTTCAAGGGACTTAGCCCCGCCCCACTAGAAATAAAAGAAAGATAATACTTATGTTTAAAACAAATGATCTCAGCTTTACACTTATGTCTTTGTAAAATGAAGTCGGTAATAAACCATTATTATTCTATCCACTTTTATATACATCCCCACATACGAAAAAAATCTTGTATTTATAGTTTTATATTATATTGATGATTTTTGGGTAGTCACCTAACGATGGTTGTTTACGGTTCAAACGTGTAATGTACAATAGGATATAAAAGCTGGCTATGAGCTGGATGGCCGGATTTCGATTCCCGGTAGAGGCAAGATTGTTTTTTCTACTGCTTCATAGTATCCAGACCGGCTGTGGGGCCCATCTAGCCTCCTATCCAATGGGCACTGGGGGCTATTTCCACGGAGGTAAAGCGACGAGAGCGTGAAGCTGAACACTCACCTCCATCAAGTGTCGAGGACAAGAATGGCGGAGCTACACCTTCACTCCTCTGTATATTT